GATTGGATCGACAGAGATACTATACCACACGTTACTACACCCTTCATTGATTGGATCGACGGAGAGCACACGACACTGAATGGATCGACAGAGAGCTATACCACATATCACTGCATCCTCCACTGATTGGATCGACAGAGATAATATACCACACGTTACTACACCCTTGACTGATTGGATCGACAGAGATACTATACCACACGTCACTGCACCCTTCATTGATTGGATCGACAGAGATAATATACCACACGTTACTACACCCTTCGCTGATTGGATCGACAGAGATCACACGTCACTGATTGGATCGACAGAGATACTATACCACACGTCACTGCACCCATCATTGATTGGATCGACAGAGATAATATACCACACGTTACTACACCCTTCACTGATTGGATCGACAGAGATACTATACCACACGTCACTGAATGGATCGACAGTGATACTGTACCACACTCCACTGACCCTTCATTGATTGGATCGACAGAGATACTATACCACACGTCACTGAATGGATCGACAGTGATACTGTACCACACTCCACTGACCCTTCATTGATTGGATCGACAGAGATACTATACCACACGTCACTGAATGGATCGACAGTGATACTGTACCACACTCCACTGACCCTTCATTGATTGGATCGACAGAGATAATATACCACACGTTACTACACCCTTCGTTGATTATTGACTGGAGCGACAGAGAAACTATATCACACGCCACTGATTGGATCGACAGAGATACTATACCACACGTTACTACACCCTTCATTGATTGGATCGACGGAGAGCACACGTCACTGAATGGATCGACAGTGATACTGTACCACACTCCACTGACCCTTCATTGATTGGAACGACAGAGATACTATACCACACGTCACTGAATGGATCGACAGTGATACTGTACCACACTCCACTGACCCTTCATTGATTGGATCGACAGAGATAATATACCACACGTTACTACACCCTTCACTGATTGGATCGACAGAGATACTATACCACACGTTACTACACCCTTCATTGATTATTGACTAGAGCGACAGAGAAACTATATCACACGCCACTGATTGGATCGACAGAGATACTATACCACACGTTACTACACCCTTCATTGATTGGATCGACGGAGAGCACACGTCACTGATTGGATCGACAGAGATACTATACCACACGTCACTGCACCCTTCACTGACTGGATCGACAGAGATACTATCCCACACGTTACTACACCCTTCACTGATTGGATCGACAGAGAAACTATATCAAGTCACTGATTGGATCGACAGAGATACTATCCCACACGTCACTGCACCCTTCATTGATTGGATCGACAGAGATACTATACCACACGTCACTGCACCCTTCATTGATTGGATCGACAGAGAAACTATATCAAGTCACTGATTGGATCGGCAGGGATACTATACCACACGTCACAGCACCCTTCATTGATTGGATCGACAGAGATACTATACCACACGTCACTGAATGGATCGGCAGGGGTACTATACCACACGTCACTGCACCCTTCATTGATTGGATCGACAGAGAAACTGTATCACGTCACTGATTGGATCGGCAGGGATACTATACCACACGTCACTGCACCCTTCATTGATTGGATCGACAGAGATACTATTTAATGTCACTGATTGGATGGGCAGAGATGCTATTTCATGTCACTGAATCAGCCTTCTCTCGGGGATGGATGTAACACAAGCTTTGCTCTGTAATCAATCTGTGACCTGATTCACTCTTGTAATGACCGCGATGAATAATGTAGGTCCATGGCAGTGTTTGGTGCCGGCAGTATCGTGGATGAAACGGATTTGAGGTTTGTGTCACTACTAATTTGTACTAATGAACACCAAAACGATCAAAGTCATGTATTATTTAGAAAAAAAACCCAGCTTATTAACAACCTATAAACACTGGAAATACAATATTAAGGAGAGCGAACTATGAAGGTGGCACTTTACCAAAAGTGTGTATTCTTGCAGGTTATGTTGCACAATACCTCCGTAAGTCTTGACAAGTATCGGAAGACAATCAGACAATCCAGTGATTGACATCATGAGCATCGATCCACGCAATTGGGATACAATGACATGCATCAACCAAGTCAGCGAACCTGACCACCCGATCCCGATAGTCGGCTCTTACGACATGCATAGTCGCCTCTTATGGCAAGCATATGTTGCTGCTGGCCTATTCTACCCCTAAATGTGATAGGACTTGCTGAACGTTTCATTACAAGCTCTGTATTACTGAATATTCAGAGATGGTGTGCCATTTTACGCCGGAGCCATCAATAGTCCAGCCGCGGCCTGTAAATAATCAAGTCGACTCTTACCACAAGCATGGTTGCATTCAGGTCATTTCTATCCCTGAATGTCCGCGGTCGGCTTACAGCCGAGAATTCTAACGTACGCTTGTTTTTGTTTGTTTGTTATTTAACACCGCACTCAGCAATATTCCAGCTATATTGAGATCATGAGCAACGATCCACGCAATTGGAATAGGGTGACATGCATCAACCAAGTCAGAGAGCCTGACCACCCGATCCCATTAGTCGCCTCTTACGACAAGCATAGTCGCCTCTTACGACAAGCACAGTCGCCTTTCAGGGCAAGAATGGGGTTCTGAATCAGAAGCGCTCGTATCGTAAATTCTCAAACATCATCAATATACAACATCTTGTGTTTCAAAGTCAAGCGGAGGATATTGGAATGAAGTTCGTCCGACCGTCCGTCCGGTTCACACAGGGGATAAATTTTCTCAAAAACTGTTTGTCAGAGAAATGAAATTTTACACACTGATGTTTTGGATCATGATCTCAAATGAGTTCGAAATGTGGTGTCATAAATTCATTTTTTACAGAATTATGGCCCTTGCTCCGTGCTTTTCAACTTCGTACATTCTGCGTAAAAACTAAAGTCACATGAATAAAAGTTTGCAAGCTTATCTAAAAGATACTTGTCAAGACTGAGTTCGAAAATTGGTCCTTTAAATTATTTGTTAACAGAGTTACGGCCCTTGACCCACGTTATATTACTTGGTGCAAAGTGTGTGCATTGAACTGGGACAAGTTTTCTCAGACACTACTGAAGTTAACTATCTAAGGGACACTTATCAAGACTGAGTTATTTTTGCTAGAGAAGGAACCTTATGTGTGTATTAATTTCACATTTCATCATTTTTTCTGATGGCATAAGGCGACCTAAGTGCCTATCTCTTCTTAGGCTTTATTTGACATTTTTATATAGTATATATACTGAACAACAAAAGTTCCTGTGACATTGAATAAGATTTAATGCAAAGATATGTTTTTTACCAAATCTGAAACAATTTCGGTTTGCAACAGATGAAAGACTCATGCAAGTGTTCAAATGGTTTAATTTGCCATACTGACTTCAGAAAATGCATGATTTCATAAAAAAAAACCATGAACATGCCAAAATGTCAATTTACAAATCAACAGCGTGTGTCCACCTCTGGTTGCGATGCAAGCAACACATCTTCGTCTCATGGAATGGACCAGGTGTCGCACAAAGTCCTTTGGGATATCTGTCCATATCTGAGGGAGCATGTTTCGAAGTTCCTGGAGTGTCTGTGGAACACGTGGTTGACGTTGAAGGCGCCGATCCATCTCATCCCACATGTGCTCGATTGGTGAGAGATCAGGGGAGTGTGCCGGCCAGGGAATGACATTAACGTTGTTATGTTGAAGGGAATCCTGAACAAGTCGAGCAATATTAGGCCTGCGCTATGACGACGCAAAAACGGTAGAACAACAGGGCCGATGATCTTGTCGTGGTAGCGCTGTCAATGAGATTTCCCTCTACCACTATCAAACGGGTCCTCTGTCTTGCTGTAATCCCACCCCATACCACAACGCTGCCGCCCCCGAACCGATCTTCTTCCATGACACAATGATTGACGTAACGTTCACCTCGACGTCGGTACACTCGAATCCGTCCATCGCTGTGGCTGAGGTGAAAACGAGACTCGTCAGTGAATATAACTTGTCCCCACTGCACGGCCGACCAGCGTAGACGCTGTCTGCACCAATGTAGACGTGCTTGATGGTGGTTTCCTGTCAAAATGGGACGTCTGGCGGGTCTTCTGGCGACAAACCCTGCCTATCTGAGGCGACGACGTACGGTTTGTGAAGATATTTGTCGAAGGCCAAGGATGCTTCTTGCAGTCACTGTTGCTGGCTGGAATCAATTTCGTAGGTTTGTTGTTCGAATCCAGTTGTCTTGTCGATTATTGGTTACGTATGGCCTGCCACTCCGATGATGGTCTCTGACTGCATTCGTCTGTTGCCAACGTTGCCATTAACACCAAATGGTGTTTCTGTGGACGTTAAACTGTCTTGCAACATCACGTTGACTCGGATTTTCGGACAGGCGTGGCATTTCGTAATGTAGAATAATTGCGTAATGTTGTTGTTTTTCTGAGTGGTTGTCAGCACGATGCTAAACAATGCATATGGAATCACGTTAACACACGTTTTTATATCCATTCTTGGGTAGTGAAGTGCATGGGCTTGCATAAAAGTCAACTTTTGCATGGAATGCATGCTTTTCTGTAACAGTTGCGTTTTTGTGACTTGATTCCATACATGTACTACAATATTGAAAACCAAACTTTACTTGTTTGAAAAAAACACTAAAATATTGGTGTCACAGGAAATTTGTTGTTGGGTATATTTACCACTATGTGAACAAACAAAATTCTAATGTGCCTCATGGTGATATAGTGATATGGCTGTTTTCTTCTCGTTGGTTGGATAGGGGTAGATTGACAAAACCGTCAGTATCTCCACACCTTGCCAGTAATTTCCCTTTATGCTGGATATATATGTTCTTTGTAAAACAAGGGAGATAGTTCTATGAATATATCATTCGTGACCCACTTGTGTTGTTCCGGGACAAGCCGAATAGTGACTTGCGTCCCTCTCGTGGCCATTTTTTTCAACTGGGTTCCGCCTAACTAACAGAATTGTCAATTCATTGCGTAAGGATTCACATATATCTCTGCAGTGATATACAAGATGTATTGTGAAGTATTAGGCCAAAATAATATTAATATTAAGTTGATTCTGCACCATTCAATTTACAATATTTCGATTCAGGATACATTTCCTGTTGTGAGTGAGCGAGTCTAATTTCACTCTGCTTTTAGCAATATTCCAGCAATATCACAGCAGTGGACCCCAGAAATGGACTTTGTACTCATATAGGAATTCGAACCCCAGTCTTCATGAGTGGATGCTTCAAGCACTAGGCTACCCCACAGCCCATTTAAGTTGTAGATTTAACATTCATAAATTCTTCCTCAATAGGTGCTTGAAGTGGCTTGACAATATCATATGAATAAAAACGTCAGCATCTGCAGTTTAATATTAACAAACAGATGTACAGTTGCAACCTGTTCTCTCAAACCAAGCAGGACCGCCTCCCTGGTCTAGTGGTAGAGCGTCTGCCTGGATAGCGGAAGGTCCTGGGTTCGATCCCCGGCCGCGTGATACCAAAAGACATTAAAAACTGGTAATTGTTGTGACCTTGTCTGGCGTTCGGCATTAAAGGGCTAAAACAAGGACTGGAGTCAGTATACTGTGTGGACATTTAAGATAACCTGGCATGAACATTATAGACTAAGGTGGTCGACGTATCGGTACTTTTGAGATAATGGGGTCAAGAAAACAAGGTTTTACTGATTATATATATACATCTGTTCAAAAAGTCTACTGTGGGCCATCCTCTGTTATCCAGGGAATCTCCATTCATGGATCAATGTGATCCAATTATCTCTTAGGGTAAGAATTAAGCTTGAAAGATTATTGTAAAAAGTTGGCATCCACAGTCTTGATTTCACAAACCCTAATCACATGTTTTTGATACAATAATTAAAATCCAAAGTAAAAATCGCGAACATGAAACTGCATGAATAAATTAAACATAGTTAAAAATAGTTGAATGACATGTAAATCTTCAGATGTAATGGCACTATTATTAATATAATATTTCTCAAATATTGGAAAATATTCTTTAAACATGATCTTTCTCTGCCTTCTTGAAAAGACCTGATGCTGCAAAATTGCAAAATGAGCTTTGGTGAGAAACATGTTGAAAATACAAAATTATGACTGTAGCTATGTCTTGCAATATGATTAGTTTCTCGATTTCAAGTACAGATCCACATCACAAAGGACATTTTGCATCTCTCTGAACCTGGCCGTGTCACAAGCTTTGTCCACCGGCAACCATTTATAGTCTGTGTGCTCTTCTGACAAGGTCACAGGGTCATCTGGCTTTTTCAACTCAGCAAGCCAGTACACAACTTTTTTGGGCTTCCCTCGTACATCATAGTTTAATGTTTTCTGATAGTCTTCATAAATGTTCATTTGATCCTTTGCTAATCCTGCTTCCTCTGCTGTTTCTCGTAAGGCAGTTTCAAATTCTCCCTCTCCTGGGTCAACATGACCTGCAATTGCATCCATATAATTTAAAAAAAGGTTATCTCAACAGAAATGATGACAGCACATAACACTGTCTCAGGATCAGGCTGGCTACCAACTTGGGAGCAGAAGCTAAATCGACACCTCCGTTGTACATAAAATGCCACTCACAGCTTTAAACATGAATTTTCATTGTCTAATACAGATACAGATAATTTGATCCCAACTCGATTACAGCTGGCCATTGAGTGATCATTCAAACATGTAGAAAAATTACCTGCTATTTCTGTTTTTTTGCTAAACAAACGTTCTTACTTGTGGTTAAAACACTAGCACTTAAATTTAAGATCATGTGTTACTTTGTCTTTCAGCCTTTGCCACATGCTTGATGGCTTCCTCTTGAACCAACATAGAAAAAGATTACAGTATGTTTCCCCACATTCTATTTAAGGGTAGAAGGGTATATCTAGGTACTATAACTTACATGGAGTGTTTTCTCCTATGCAAATTAACGTAGTCTTACCTCAATTTAATTTTTCCGTCACAATCTCAGTTCAACCCAAATAAAAGAGGTGAACGTGAGCATTGATAACGGCGGAATATGTTATTCATAACTAACCACTGAAATGAGAATATATAACATAGATTTCTACATAATACATCATAACAACTTCTTATAACGTTTGTCATCCGGTAGGCACCTTTAGGCGGTGTCCAGTGTCTGCTTCCATAAGATGCTTTCAGTAGTAAATATTGCACTTGATTTTCAAAACGTCTAAATATGATCAACCCCGCTGCAACAACAACATTAGATGTCATGTTCCCTATGCGCCCCGAACCGCAGCAACAGTTACTGATGTAAGAGCAGGTAAGTCAAAGCGACAACCTAAAACTTCGAACATTGCGGTTCATTGGTGTAAATCTAAACCAATAACATTCGTCGCTGCACGGAGCTTTCAGTGACGCACCTGACATTTTCGTACAAAATGATAACATGTAGTGAAGTTTGTATTTCATTTTAAAAAAAATAATATGTTGTTTCATTTGCAACTAATTAATAATTATAAAGATTTTTTTAAATTGAGACAAAGTACTAAGTGTTGCTATAATATTGAAGATAATGCAAATTGTATTGTTAATATTTAAGATGAATGTTATTAGTCGTTGCGATACTAACATAAATGCAATAACAATTAATTATTTGTATTGTTTTTAGAATCATTTGGCGCATATCGTGTATTGGTTTGATGATTTCTCAGAATGAATGTCAAGTTTTGAATATAACCGTGGTTTCTATTAACATCTCACTAATACGTTATCACCATCGGCGCGGATTTCAAAATGGCGGATAAAGTTGTAAACAAACTAACAGTCGCGGTATCAGGCTGCAATTTTAACTGTATTTTACGTCAGTGTGTTTTGGACATTAATAAAAGTTGGTGTAGCGTTCTTCTATGATGAATCGATGAGCCATTCTAAGACGTTCTTGTTGAATCGTGAAGCAAAGTGCGTGATATTTCTGCCCAATCGGTGAAGGCAAAAATAACAAGCCTAAACATGTATATGGCAGTAGATCACAACATACAGTTCGATCATTCATTGTGTATTGTTAACTTCCCGTGGAAGATGGCCGAGGAAACGTATGACACATAAGTTCCATAACATGTGTACCCACAGAGATACACACAAAACCTAGAAAAAGGTGATTGTCCAAGCATTTCTAACTTCAGAATGTCAGTGCAGTCAATATTATTTTGAGCTTTTATAACCTAATTAAACTTTGGCACCACTCCAGTTCTGTCCTTACTTCATGTACAGGAAGTTGTCTCGAATAATGTGTGTGTCATCCTTATTAATAACAACTGGCACTGAAGGCATGTTACAATGTTTATTTGTTTTCTTTTTCCCATGATCATTGATCACAGTAGCATATACAATTATTCAATGTATTATCCTGTATTGTCATGGTGCCATATAATATATGACTAGTACATGCACTAAGTAGTACTTACATGTTTCTTGTAAGTTACCAAGTGGTGTTTTTATACAAGGCACTATTCATTTGATGAAATATAAAAATGACATGACATTTTAATATCTAGTTATTCTTGGATGTAAATAAATTAAGTGTGGGTAAAATTGGTCTGGACATCAAATTAAATACATTATTATTGTTTGCAGATTCCAGACTTTGAAGATCATAATGGGGACTTTATATGAGTGTCTACGGGAAGCAAGGCTGGAGAAATATTATCCAACTTTTCGTGCTAATGGAATAACACGTTCAGAAACTTTGTCAAGATTGAGTCTACATGACTGCACAGTCATGGGAATAACTTCTGTGGATGACAGACGTCGGATGACAGAACTTATCAACATAATAAAATCTGTTCATAATGCAAGTAGAACTCAAATCCCTAATCCACAGCCATCTAGTAATATGTCCCGGAAAACATCACAACCCAGGAAGGTGAGTAGAAGTCCCAATTCGGCAACAGGACAAAGTGGAGTATCTCGAGGCCTGGAAGCAACAAGAGACGTCACTGTGACAGACAGAACCCCAAACTTTTCTGCCGCCTCTTATGTTGATATGTTACAGTTACTGACAGAATCAAGTTCTGATGAATCTAGTGATGAAGCAGTTCAATCAGATGAACAGAACATTCCACGTCATGTAGCTAGACCAGGTCCAGTTTCCAAGCACTCTCGAGGACAGGTAGAGAGAGTCAAGCACACAGGGTATAACTATGGTGTGCCTAAAGGAACACCAAAGACTAAGACTAAACCAACATCATCCACATCATCGAGAGGTGTGGAGGATAAGATTCGTGTTTGTGTGAGAAAAAGACCCGTATCTCGCAGAGAGGAGAGATCTGGAGATGATGACATCCTACAGACGGAGGGGACAAATTCTGTCGTTGTAAATGAACCGAAGCAGGCTGTTGATCTCACAGCCTTCACTTTACAGGTAAGTGTTTGAATTTTTTTCTCTCAAATATCCATAAACAAATTGTGAAATTTATTGAAGAAGTTATTTAATATGTGTGGAGCATGGTATTAACATGGTTTGCAAGACGATGATTAGTGGTTAGTACGGTAGTAGCAGTAAGGATTCTGCCTGGAACATTCTGTTCCATTATTGGTCAACCTTAAGCAATGTATGAAGTTGATGGATTTCAAGTTGATCATGTTCATGATATTTCATTGTATGTTTTATTTCAGTAGAACATGAAGATTATTCCTATGATTTTTGTTTCTGTTCCAGCATGAATTTTTCTTTGATGAAGTATTTGATGAAAACTGTTCAAATGAAGATGTTTATTTGCGAGCTGCAAGACCATTAATCAACAGTGTATTTAATAAGTAAGATAAATCTTGATATTTTTCATTATTTTCAAAGTAAACAAGAAACAATTTAGTTGATAACTTGTGGGTAAATGAATGTTCTTCACACGTATATCTCATCATTCATGTTGATGCTGTGATTAAAGTCTTTTTGAAATATTACTGAAATACATCTACCTGTGTCCATCATGTCCTTGTGAAACACTTACGCCTTTCCAGGGTTCACATACATATATATCAGATATATAGAATTGTTTTTCACTCTTTCAGTTCAGGTCCAACAAAACATAATTTTTATTTCTAGTGTAATATTTATGATCTTTATGATACGAAAACACACAAGGGTAATAATCTCTAAATCATATGTCATTCTTGAAATAATCATAGTTTCAACCATAGTTTCATTCACTGAAGTAACTTTTGAAATTGCATAGGAATACAATGTCAGCCACCTCATTTATGATATGGTGTCAAATAACTGCATGTTAGTTTCCATAAGCACTCACACTTTAGGCAACACATTTTTCCTCCATGAAGACCTTTGACTGTTGCGTTAAACAACAAACAAACAAGGGAACAAAAAAACCATCACATTTTTGGAACATTAGACAGCACTTTGTTAAGCAAGCAGGTATTGCATTGATGTCCAGAGCTTATTATTACCATATTCAACATAATAAGTGCCCATGGCGCTCTCAAAATTAGAAATAGGGGGCTCTTATTAGAATTTTATTTTGGTAAAAAAAACAGAGTTGAAAGACCATAAATTTCGTGGTTTATGCTGACAGCCTGAAATGTTTACATACAACGGATATATTTTTCCAGAATTGAATTAAGGGTGCTTAACACACAGGTGTGTATTATACAGGAATAAATAAGCCTTGTGTACATTTATCAATCGGAAGGGATGCTAATTGGGATTGTTCACTAGCCTATATATTAGCTAATATCTCTGTGGGCGCTTATTACGTCGAATACGGTATATTAATGTCATTTGCTGTTTATTGGTTTGAATAATCACATCAGAAATACCCATTCGTGATCAACTCGTGTAATTCCGGGACAAGCCGAATAGCGACTCGTGCCCCTCTCATGGCCATTTTTGCGACCGGGTTCCGTCTTAGCGTAAACGGGCATACCTAAAACAATTGTCAACTGGTTGCGTAATGGTTCACATATTATTTCCCCATGTATTATATATATTTCAGATGCAATTAAAGCACATTGGGACATGCTGAATTATACAGTATGATTGAACACATTTAACTGTGTCTTGGCTAATTTTAAGATGCAAGACATATGTAAAATCAAAAATTATTTTCGAGGGATTTTTTTACGAAGAACCTAAAATCATACTCTCATTCTGATTGGTTTGTCATATTTTCGCACATAGCATTCATCGATAGGGGGACGAGTCTTCTTGCAGGTTACGGAAAGGGGCAAGTGGCGACGAATGCAGAAACACCATCCATCATATCATGAAAAGAAGTACCTACACATTTTAGCATTTTATAAATGCCTTGAGTAAAATCTATTAGACCTAAATAAAATGTTCATTTTATCAAGAACATTATTAGCATGGTTAGGAAGAGAATTGTTAGATTACTTTGAACTTTGTATTGAAAATTTTCCTCATCCCTGGCTCTTGTGTTCCGTGCAGTGGTAGCGCCACCTGTTTTGCCTATGGGCAGACTGGGGCAGGCAAGACTCACACAATGATGGGGAATGACAATGTACCTGGATTATTCCTGCTGGCATCAAGGGACATATTCTCCATCATTGAGTCCAAGCAGTACGGGGAAGGCCTCCATGTCTGGGTCAGCTTCTTCGAGATCTATTGTGGCCAGCTCTTTGATCTCCTCAACAGAAGGAACAGGTAACAGTTTGTTTCATTGTCATCATATGTAGGGAAGGTTTTTGTCATGATAATCATTAAAATGTGGACCCAGAGTGTGATGTATGTCAGTTTTTTGTGCTGTAGTGTATTCTTATCACTATGTTTGATACTAAAGGATACGTTTATTCTCAGTTTCTTTTGGCTTAAAAAATCAGTTTGTTTGACTTTTATATGTTTTGACAGATCTAAATAATGGTGTTAGCGTAAATATTTGACCTTCTTTAGTTCTTAATCATGAACATTTGATCACATTTATTTCTAGACTCCATGCACGGGAAGATGGCTCCCATAACGTGTGCATCGCAGGTTTGATGGAGACCGAAGTCAGTGAGGTAGCAGGGCTTGTCAAGGTGTGATACACATTTCCTACTTTGAACAATCGCATAATATGTGGTATATGTATATGCTTTTGATTCAATCTTTATCTGAATTGTCACCGATACTTTTTGAACGAGACATTTCCCATCCACAGATACTGTGATGGACAACTGTGTAAGGATCTATACCGAAACATTGCTGTACAGCGTAATAAAGAAGTTGTCCATAAATTGTGTCTACTTTGTCATCCTCAACTTCTGAGAAATGCCTGTCTATCAAACAATTTTACGTTGGGATGATCATAACTTAAATACTTGAACATAGGTTTATGACAGTCTTAGCGATGGGATGATCATAACTTAAATACTTTAACATAGGTTTATGACAGTCTTAGCGATGGGATGATCATAACTTCCATACTTTAACATAGGTTTATGACAGTCTTAGCGATGGGATGATCATAACTTCCATACTTGAACATAGGTTTATGACAGTCTTAGCGATGGGATGATCATAACTTCCATACTTTAACATAGGTTTATGACAGTCTTAGCGATGGGATGATCATAACTTCCATACTTTAACATAGGTCTATGACAGTCTTAGCGATGGGATGATCATAACTTCCATACTTGAACATAGGTTTATGACAGTCTTAGCGATGGGATGATCATAACTTCCATACTTGAACATAGGTTTATGACAGTCTTAGCGATGGGATGATCATAACTTCCATACTTTAACATAGGTTTATGACAGTCTTAGCGATGGGATGATCATAACTTAAATACTTTAACATAGGTTTATGACAGTCTTAGCGATGGGATGATCATAACTTCCATACTTTAACATAGGTTTATGACAGTCTTAGCGATGGGATGATCATAACTTCCATACTTTAACATAGGTCTATGATAGTCTTAGCGATGGGATGATCATAACTTCCATACTTTAACATAGGTTTATGACAGTCTTAGCGATGGGATGATCATAACTTCCATACTTTAACATAGGTCTATGACAGTCTTAGCGATGGGATGATCATAACTTCCATACTTTAACATAGGTCTATGACAGTCTTAGCGATGGGATGATCATAACTTCCATACTTTAACATAGGTTTATGACAGTCTTAGCGATGGGATGATCATAACTTCCATACTTTAACATAGGTCTATGACAGTCTTAGCGATGGGATGATCATAACTTCCATACTTTAACATAGGTTTATGACAGTCTTAGCGATGGGATGATCATAACTTCCATACTTTAACATAGGTCTATGACAGTCTTAGCGATGGGATGATCATAACTTCCATACTTTAACATAGGTTTATGACAGTCTTAGCGATGGGATGATCATAACTTCCATACTTTAACATAGGTTTATGACAGTCTTAGCGATGGGATGATCATAACTTCCATACTTTAACATAGGTCTATGACAGTCTTAGCGATGGGATGATCATAACTTCCATACTTTAACATAGGTTTATGACAGTCTTAGCGATGGGATGATCATAACTTCCATACTTTAACATAGGTTTATGACAGTCTTAGCGATGGGATGATCATAACTTCCATACTTTAACATAGGTTTATGACAGTCTTAGCGATGGGATGATCATAACTTCCATACTTTAACATAGGTTTATGACAGTCTTAGCGATGGGATGATCATAACTTCCATACTTTAACATAGGTCTATGACAGTCTTAGCGATGGGATGATCATAACTCCCATACTTTAACATAGGTCTATGACAGTCTTAGCGATGGGATGATCATAACTTCCATACTTGAACATAGGTTTATGACAGTCTTAGCGTTAGGATGATCATCAATCCCATACTTTAACATAGGTCTATGACAGTCTTAGCGATGGGATGATCATAACTTCCATACTTTAACATAGGTCTATGACAGTCTTAGCGATGGGATGATCATAACTTCCATACTTTAACATAGGTCTATGACAGTCTTAGCGATGGGATGATCATAACTTCCATACTTTAACATAGGTTTATGACAGTCTTAGCGATGGGATGATCATAACGTCCATACTTTAACATAGGTCTATGACAGTCTTAGCGATGGGATGATCATAACTTCCATACTTTAACATAGGTCTATGACAGTCTTAGCGATGGGATGATCATAACTTCCATACTTGAACATAGGTTTATGACAGTCTTAGCGATGGGATGATCATAACTTCCATACTTTAACATAGGTCTATGACAGTCTTAGCGATGGGATGATCATAACTTCCATACTTTAACATAGGTTTATGACAGTCTTAGCGATGGGATGATCATAACTTCCATACTTTAACATAGGTCTATGATAGTCTTAGCGATGGGATGATCATAACTTCCATACTTTAACATAGGTTTATGACAGTCTTAGCGATGGGATGATCATAACTTCCATACTTTAACATAGGTTTATGACAGTCTTAGCGATGGGATGATCATAACTTCCATACTTTAACATAGGTCTATGACAGTCTTAGCGATGGGATGATCATAACTTCCATACTTTAACATAGGTTTATGACAGTCTTAGCGATGGGATGATCATAACTTCCATACTTTAACATAGGTCTATGACAGTCTTAGCGATGGGATGATCATAACTTCCATACTTGAACATAGGTCTATGACAGTCTTAGCGATGGGATGATCATAACTTCCATACTTGAACATAGGTTTATGACAGTCTTAGCGATGGGATGATCATAACTTAATTACTTTAACATAGGTTTATGACAGTCTTAGCGATGAGATGATCATAACTTCCATACTTTAACATAGGTTAAGTCCATTCTGGACATTGCAATAAGTGACACATGAAACAGATTCATTGTCTCGGTGAAACTAGATAATGTTGCTTTTTTTATGTATACATCACAAACTATGTGTTGTTGTCGTTGAGTTACTTGCTGGTACTGGCAACTGACCAGAATGCAGCCTCCCTCTGATAGAAGCCATTTGTCATTGGTTCAAGTCCAATCTGGGCTGTCGGGTAGCCTAGTGGTTAAAGCGTACACTTGTCACGCCTACGACCCGGGTTTGTTTCCCCACATGGGTACAATGTGTGAAGCCCATTTCTGGATTCCCCCGCCGTGATATTGATGGAATATTGCTAAAAGCGACATAAAACCCTACCCACTCAAGTCCACTGCCCTGCTTATGATCTATTACACTGTGCTGACTGCAGGTGCTGGACTACGGGAACTCGGTACGAAGTAAAGGTGCCACAGGCGTGAACCCAGACTCATCTCGCTCTCACGCCATTCTGCAGATGGAGATCCGAGACAACGACGATCACAGGGTTGGCAGGTCAGACTCAGAGTACAGCATATGCATGTTGCCATGGTTACACTAGAGTTTCATGTTGCAAGATGAGGCTGCCAGAATGTTGATGTGTCAAAATCATGTTTGGATTTGTTGTGAAGTTGACCAGTGTTGTGTGGATAGAAGGATACGTCTAGAAGCATGGCACATCAAGACCATCATGCTGTCCGTGCCAAATTGATTTTAGTCCACCAGCCCGACTTGGCTCTTCGTCATTTTAAGAACATTTTGGCATGATCATTATTTTAGTTTGTGATCTTTTATTTGCTATGATTACTAGACCAAACTAAATTTTCCTAGACTTTGACTTTGGACTAGTGGCTAATATCGTAGACTATCAATGTAACCATGGTAATGGAGACAGATACCAATTTGTCTTCATTTATATTGTTTATTTTCTCAGCATTTTGTTAAATCATGTGTACCATCATGATTGTGCTTCTATTTATTGGGTTCTTATCTTTACTTATATTTGCTAGTTTCTAACTTTTATTTTTTTCCATTGAAGGATCTCTTTCATTGACCTGGCAGGCAGTGAGCGTGCGGCCGATGTGACAGACACAGACAAACAGACTAGATTGGAGGGAGCCGAGATTAACCAGAGTCTGCTGGCTGTAAGTGTACAGACATCTGTGGAGACAGAGTCCTCTCTAGCCAGAAAGTGCTGTTGCGTTTAAATTAGTGGTAGCCACTCTGGCAAGAAAGTGTTGTAGTGTGTAAATTATCGGTTGCCTCTCTGGCCAGAAAGTGCTGTAGTGTATAAATTATCGGTTGCCTCTCTGGCCAGAAAGTGCTGTAGTGTATAAATTATTGGTTGCCTCTCTGGCCAGAAAGTGTTGTAGTGTATAAATTATCGGTTGCCTCTCTGGCCAGAAAGTGCTGTAGTGTATAAATTATTGGTTGCCTCTCTGGCCAGAAAGTGCTGTAGTGTGTAAATTATCGGTTGCCTCTCTGGCCAGAAAGTGCTGTAGTGTATAAATTATCGGTTGCCTCTCTGGCCAGAAAGTGCTGTAGTGTATAAATTATCGGTTGCCTCTCTGGCCAGAAAGTGCTGTAGTGTATAAATTATTGGTTGCCTCTCTGGCCAGAAAGTGTTGTAGTGTATAAATTATCGGTTGCCTCTCTGGCCAGAAAGTGCTGTAGTGTATAAATTATTGGTTGCCTCTCTGGCCAGAAAGTGCTGTAGTGTGTAAATTATCGGTTGCCTCTCTGGCCAGAAAGTGCTGTAGTGTATAAATTATTGGTTGCCTCTCTGGCCAGAAAGTGCTGTAGTATATAAATTATTGGTCACCTCTCTGGCCAGAAAGTGTTCTATGTATAAATTATTGGTTGCCTCTCTGGCCAGAAAATGTTGTAGTGTATATATTATTGGTCACCTCTCTGGCCAGAAAATGTTGTAGTGTATAAATTATTGGTCACCTCTCTGGCCAGAAAGTGCTGTAGTGTATAAATTATTGGTCACTTCTCTGGCCAGAAAGTGCTGAAATGTGTAAATTATTGGTCACCTCTCTGGCCAGAAAGTGCTGTAGTGTATAAATTATTGGTCACCTCTCTGGCCAGAAAGTGCTGTAGTATATAAATTATTGGTCACCTCTCTGGCCAGAAAGTGCTGTAGTGTATAAATTATTGGTCACGTCTCTGGCCAGAAAGTGCTGAAATGTGTAAATTATTGGTCGGCTCTCTGGCCAGAAAGTGTTGTCGTGTGTAAATTATTGTCATCTCTGGCCTCAAGCTGAAGGGAACACAGCTAAAATGTGTGAAACCCGTTCTGGTGACCCTGCTGTGACATGTCATTCCAGAATCAAGACCTTCCTCGCACAGACTGGTTCTTGGCTGTGTTTGCATTGCATCATCTTTTTGATGTTTTCTATTACATCTATCCTGCATGAGACTTCCCTTTGTTCAGATTCTGGGTATTTTAACTCAGTTCAGGGTAACAATGTCATGTTTGGTATTTGTTTTCCAATTAATAATGAAGATATTTCTTTTCATAATAATGATTGACTGTGTGTCTCGTATTGTAACAGCAATAGGATATTGAATAAAAAGGGAAGAGAAGAAAAATAAATAGGTTATGTAACTACACCATTCTTTTTCAGTTGAAAGAATGCATCAGGTCAATTGACCAGTCAAGTCGTCATAAACCGTTCCGTCAGAGCAAGCTCACACATATCCTGAAGGACTCGTTTGTTGGCAACTCTCGGACCTGTATGATAGCCAACATCTCGCCGACAATGTCCGCCTGTGAGAATACGCTCAACACACTGCGATATGCAGACAGGTAACCCTGGCTTAGATACACATCGCTCCTCACTGTCAGTTACCAAGTCACTGAAACATTTCACCATTTTCACTTCTTGTGATTTTCGTTTACCTTTGTTTAATTTAATAGATTGTTTTGTTTATCTTGGAGTCTGTTGCATATTTCCATACTTACATTACAAAGACATATTAGTTATAAATATTCATAATGACATTTTGTATGGATATTGTTTTATGGGGGATCTTCTTTGTGAAATAACAAACATTTTAGATTTATCCTATGCATTTCTTCCTTCGTCTTTCGATCCTTGTGTTGAAACTTACTAGAACAAAGTTTCCAGCCTCAAAAAACTTTTCACCCAGACACATCCCAGCATCACCATAGTCACCACCTATGGGTCATGCACCACTGCAATCCTGTGCGATACGATCCTAAGTGACCTGATCACCTGACATATCCTGCCTCTTCATTCTCTCTCTCAGCACCACAAGTATTTGAGTTTACAGAGAATTATTTTTTGTTTTTTTGGGGGGAATCTTCTTCCTCGGACAACAGCAATATACCACACAGATGAATATGGAGAAATGCCCGTTTTACACAAAATACATTGGTACGTTTTCGACTGTAGACCCTCACTCCAACTGCTCCAAGTTGTCAACCATGCAGATGCTCACAATGACAACATCTTCGTCACCAACGACTAAGGGAATGTCCTCACTCTCATCCTCTCCCTCACCCTCTCCACATGAAGAACGTACACGCTCCTCACCTTCAGATTGACATTGCCAGTCAGATCGACATCATAGCGATAAGCGCTATTGTTTTGATGATTCGGATCGAATTGACAGGCTGATCGATGTCATCAGGATTCAGATTGACATCAACAGGCAGATTGACCTGAACAGGAGGACAGATATCAATCTGATGATTCAGATTGACGTCAACAGTCGGATCGACATTACCCCTCAGATCGACATCAATCGGCAGCACCTAATGGACATTGGGATCAACATTGGGATGGACATCGATACTCTTCACCAGTGGATTGATATCATCCTAGGAACTCTTACCCTCGTGCCTCCAAGTTGATACACTTCTCCGGATGATCGCTTTTCAGATCGACTTCGTTACCCCTCGCCTTTGAATTACATTCAAATTGACAACGACCTGAACAATGTTATCAAGACACTTTGTCAGATCGACATCCCCATTGACAACGACCTGAACAATGTTATCAAGACATTTTGTCAGATCGACATCCCCATTGACAACGACCTGAACAATGTTATCAAGACACTTTGTCAGATCGACATCCCCATTGACAACGACCTGAACAATGTTATCAAGACACTTTGTCAGATCGACATCCCCATTGACAACGACCTGAACAATGTTATCAAGACACTTTGTCAGATCGACATCCCCATTGACAACGACCTGAACAATGTTATCAAGACATTTTGTCAGATCGACATCCTCATTGACAACGACCTGAACAATGTTATCAAGACACTTTGTCAGATCGACATCCCCATTGACAACGACCTGAACAATGTTATCAAGACACTTTGTCAGATTGACATCCCCATTGACAACGACATGCGACATAGCAATACCTCTCCAATACTGAGGTCCACTTTGGCCCCCAAGGATATATATCCTGACGTTTCACTGGCAGATTGACATCATTTACGATATGTACCAATCTTCAAGTCTCCAGTAGGCGGAAGACTTGGAGATTTTGTAGAGAATTGGAAGATACTGGAAGACCCCTTTGTCACACAACTTGTCACGGCTGCATCTCTTGTGTCAATATGCTGCCAGCCATCTTCCAGCCCTTCAAGACGCCATCAGTACGTTAGTCATGCATGCTATAGATTGTCTTATTAGCCCAGGTTCCCCGGGGTTTTATACGCCAATTTTTCTGGCCCCGAAAGAAAGGCAGCAACAAAGTACGGAGTATTTTCTACATGAAGCTGCCACATTCTTAAATGGTGTCCATCGCACTCCCCGTACGATCATCGGACCAGGAGACATCATGGTCAGGCTCGACCTGCAAGATGCTTTTCTTCACATACTAGTCCATTGGGAACACTGCCATGACCTACTCTTCATATTCCAAGGCATCCATTACCAGTGGAAGGTGCTCAGGTTTGGAATTTCTATGACCCCGTGGATATTCACTTGTATTACGAAGCCAGTCATATAATTCCTTCACTGCCGACCAATCAGTGTCAGTGAGGCACCTAGAATTCAATCTGACGTTACATTTTTACTTTATATGTTGTTTATGAAATTCTACCAAGTTTTAGGTTAAAATATGAAATGGAGACAAATAGGGTTACTGTACTGGGAAGGAAGCTGAAGGGTTTGACTGTGGCTACCTACCTAGCAGCCATTAACTCAGTCATTGCTAATACTATGGGTTTGAAGATTTCCACGGCAGCTGAATTGCAAGCTCTCATTCTATCTTACAAACTGGCTGATCAGTCATTCTGTTTTCGACCACATGCTTGGGACTTTGATGTTATTTTTCTCTTTTCGGAGGACTATTTTAAGAATTTGGTACACGTCACTCTCAAGACAGTGTTTCCCTGGCACTAGCAACGGCACGCATTAGTGAGATTCATGGTCTCGAAGTCAACAGAGTCTGTTTTGAAAGGCATCATGAGAAAGTCTTTTCTTTGCCAAGAACTAGCTTCCAGGAGAACCAGATCTTCTATTCACAATCCTTTCACTCACCTTGATCTTGAATCCCGAGGACCATGAAGACCTTCCGTTGTGCCTTGTTCCGGCTTTATGTATTTATCTGAAAGCCCCAGCAACTCTATGATGTTCTCGCAAGAGATTGTTCATCCCGTTATCCACTCGGGCGACAACAGAACTTTCGAGAACTATGGTGTACTTTTGGGTACTACGCTCAGCTGTCCTCCAGGCAAACACCTTCACTGGGTTACCCCTTCCAATGGCCTCCAATCTACACTAGACTCAGGCAGTTGTATCTACGATGGTGGTGCTAAGCAGTCGGATACAGTCTTCGCTTCCTGTTACCTCTGACACATCTCAGTCACAAACTGAGGTTTCCCTAATTGAGGAACGTCCTGCCTGAAGACACATAACACCCGTTATCATGATAGATGTGTCCTAGTAAGGCAAAGGGGTTTATATCCCTTGCCTTAGTGATCACCCATTAATGCGTTCTTGTCTTTCCGACACTTTTCGAAACTATCATGTGATTAAAGCATAGTTCCTCGTGTACTGAGATATGGTTGTAGTCTTGTTGCAGGCTAGGGTATTCACCGTCCAACCCAGGGATAAATGCATAGTCTGAGAAAGGATAAGTTTAAAAATTTGAAGATTTTACAATAAATTTTATATTTATATACATATCCTTTCTCACACACTATATGCCCTCCCAACCATCCCTGCATCAGATTTACACCAACCTGTATGCTCTAGAACGAAAATACAGAGAAAATGATCAGGTGATCAGGTCGCTTAGAGTCGTATCACACAGGATTGCAGTGGTGAACCATTGTTTAGTTGGTGACCAGGGTGATGCTGGGATGTGTTCGGGTGAAATGTTTTTTGAAGCTAGAAACTCTGTTCTAGGACGTTTCCTCACCAGCATTAAAAGAAGAAGGAAGAAATGCATTGTGTGATACAGGATAAGTATATAGTTATACAATTTAGTGTTTAGTTCTTACATTAAGTTAACAGACAGCTTGAAACAAAATCACAAAAGAACAGTTGTTTTCGTCATTGTTCTTGTCAGCCAGGACACTGTCAGTTGCTGTTATTGTGAATGTCGTCAACTCAAGGTATAAGACAGACATTGCAGACATCTCAAAACCAATTGTAATCCCATGAGTAACAACAACTAACCTTGTTAAATTGTGTATTCAAAGGAAAGGAAATCTGGCTTCATCCTGATGATAATTTTCAGGGTAAAGGAACTAAAGCGGGATGGTTCTCGAGGCACAACGAGCAGCCAGGCAGAGAACTTACTCATGAACATTCCAATATCGGTGCCCTCTGTCTTCCATCCATCCAACATCCTGTCCTGCTCGACTCCGATGCGACCAGTCACGCGACACACGGCTCAGCGACCCCCGGATGACAGCATGTTGGACCCAGCAGACACCCCAGTCCGTGGACACTTTCAGCAGAAGAAAAATACCAAATCAAAAACACCCAACATTGCCCAAAGTTCGTCCGTGCCAAAACAGTCAGTTGCTGCAGCTCGTGATGCTTCTCCATCCAGGAGAAGGATCTCCAGGCCACCACGAGATCCTTCGCCAGCCCGAGAACATGTCCTCAGACAGAACATCCCCCCTCCTCACTTGGTCCCCCCCCAACAAACCTCATCTCCAAGTGGGTCGGACAAAACAGACTCAGAATCTTGTAATATAACACTGCCACGGAACAACAATCTCCCTCAGCCAAACATTCCAGTTGCCCAGTCAACAGATACAGAGTTTGACTTCCCAACGTCAGATTTTAATGTGCCAGAAGAATTAAATGATCTCAATAAAACAGGAGAAAAGAAACAGGACCCCAGGAAACGTGTCGGAGAGACTGGTCATGGGGTAGACAAGCCCCAAGGTGCAGCTCAGGGAAATACTAAATCATCAGGTCGAATGCTTCCAGAGACTCCCATGGGAGGTAAAGTACAAAGACCTCAAAGCACTGACTCTGCACTGCAACAAGAGAGGGAGCCCGACAAAGGTCACCAAGTGATTAGACAGATCCCCAGAAGTAACTCACCAGCAACCAGACGACCTCCTTCTCCTGCAGCCGAGGCAGTAGGGGGCGTGCCACACCCCACCCCATCAGTGTCAGCGCCGGTGCCATATGCTGCTGTTCCTACGATTACTCCTGTAGCGGAGAGTATTGAAGATGACCAATTGTTTGACAACCCTGGTCAAGGTGCAAGACAGCCTGTAATAAGATCCAACTCTATAGCAAGCCCTCAATCAAAGAATGGCTTAAGCAGGCTGAATGGTGGCAGCCAACTGAGTGTGATCCCTGCAGTGTTGCCTGCATCCAGCAGTGACCTCAGCTTCACCCAGAGGGCACCAGTGCGACCTCCAGCAGACATGGAGGGCATCCTTCTCACTCCCCGGGCTGTTGACGCCATGTCAGGTCGGCAGCCACCTGAACCCCACATCTTCGTGTCTGATGTCAGTGACATTCCTGAGCCAGAACCAGTCCCTCCACCTCCCAGCATTCCTCATCACCGAGACGAAAGTCCAAAATGCGCTTCCCCCAAACCCGATCTTCCGCCCCGATCATCTCAGTCCAGGGAGAGGCGGACGAGGCATGCCTCCCACTCCTCCCAGTCCAGTGATGACTCGTCCATGGAGGGAGTGAGGACGTCCCAGTCCGACTCGGCTCAAGGACCTTACAAGGTCAGGTCAAGGAGCAAAAGTAAAATGACTGATTTGAGAAAAGAAAAGAGTGACCCTATGATAGCTCTTCATATGCAGACGAAGAAACAAACTCTCCCCAACCCAGATGACTTCCACAAGTATCTGTCCCGAGGAAACACACCCAAGGTTGGGCAGACGTCGTCTAGTCCGATGTCAGTTCCGCTTTCCAAACTATCCTCTCCTGAAGCAGGTCCAAGCCAACCAGTCATGAACATCCTCAGCGAGTCCGACCAGACAGAGTTAAAGTCAGGACGAAGTAGTCCAGCGCACAGGATGACGAGCCAGGATTCGCGAAGATCACCGGTCGCCTATGACAAACATGCTACTGGTGATTGTAAATCAAGTGTGAAGTCAAAGAGCAGAATGTCCGTGGCTGACTTGTTGAAGACGACGAATAGAGGGGAAAGAGCCAAGTCCCCAAAAGCTTCAACCCCGACACACGGTGTCAGTTCCAATTACCAGAAACATGGGTCTCCACAGACCGTACATAGCGACAACACACGGTATAGCTCACAGACCGTACATAGCGACAACACACGGTATAGCTCACAGACCGTACAGAGTGACAACTCACGGTATAGCTCACACACTGCCCGCACCGACAATCGGCAGCACAACAAGGAAAATATCTCCATGTCCTCCAAGAGTGACTCGTCCCAGCAAAGTTCCTTAAACTCCGAGATCCTGGGCAAAAACACACAGACTACGAGAGGGAGTTTTGTTGTGAGGAACAGCAATTCCCCGACGGGAGCCAAATCGTCTAGCTCTGTCATTGTAACAGAGAAGTTGACCGTAGGAGCCATCTTCTCCCCGATCCACCCTCAGCCTATCACCAGTCATGCCATCACCCAAAACGTCTCCCCTACCAGTCCGGGGCCCGAGGTGGTGCAACCCAAACCTGTCACCCCCGTGTCGGCGCCACCGGTGTCAGCTTCAGTAGCAGGGTCTGTGGCGGGGTCCGTCGCCATGGAGAGAGAGAGCATCATCAGCCAGGGAATCCCACTGGATGACAGAAATGATCCAAGGTAAGCAACTGACTTTTTCACTATATTTGGTGCTGCAGTTATTCCACAGTGTTTTCACATAAGTGTGATTGGCAGCTTGAAATTAGTACCAAGCATGGCAGTTGAATGATTTCCTCCCTTTTAGCTCTTTAGGGAATCTTTTGTTCTGTTTAATGTGTTCCATAAATCAATTCCAGAATGACAGCTGACATTTTTAAATATGGAAATTGATTTCCTAATTTGATTTGAAAGTGATTCCAGTCCTGGTATGCAAGTTAACCTAAGACATTCACGGGCCCCAAGAGATATACATTCAAGGACACCATTTAAGCCTGAAATTCTACTTGTCCTCCTTTAGCGGGTGGTCGGGTAGCCTAGTGGTTAAAGCGTTCGCTCATCACGCCTAAGACCCGGGTTCAATTCCCGACATGGTGTCCCCCGCCGTGATATTGCTGGAATATTGCTAAAAGCGGCGTAAAACCCAACTCACTCACTCACTTGTCCTCCTTTAGCGATAGACTCAGGGTATTGTACATCTCTGCAGCCTTTGAATGTATCCTAGAAGTCTTGCATCTTCAGGATCACTGTCCATTTTTATACCCCCTCCTCTCCCCCTGCCTGTATATTACAGAGGGATATAGTCATCATCTGGTCCGTCCTTTGCCAGTCAGTCCGTATTTTTCTCTCGGTAGTTAATTTATAATGGTTCGTAATGGCGTACGCTTACAGACCTATGCAATATGTCATATGTAAAATGTTTGTTCTTTTAATGTGTTCAACTTTTATGACACATCAATTAGGATTGATTGATGCTGATGTACTTTACCGAGTTCAGTAAACAAAGTACCTGTCAATAGCGACTCAAGAGCGGGCAACTCTGTATTATCGCGGTATGGCTATTTTGTGGTGTGATAGGTGTGAACTATGTTGTTTACATCACTTCCTGTTTTGGACTATGCATCATCAGTATGCATACAACCTAGGTTGGGTCAAGGGACTTCGTCTGAACAAATGGCTTCTTTTGTAATCAGTTTCAAATGGAGGTAGGGGTAATTCCACTTCAAAAACATTCCAGAAACTATCATAAAAAAGTTAACGTGTATACTTACGAGTTGCTGTGACATGCTGCAACGATGGTCCTGTATTCAATCAAGCGATGAGATGTTGTATTTAGATTTGCATAAGTAAACATTCAACAAGATTTACCGATATCGCGATAATATAGAGTCATACTATATATGGACAGACAGATTGGATAGGAATACTCTCATCAAGTTGGACAGATTACTCTTGTAGGACTTGCCGTAACAATCAGATGATTTGTTCTTTTGAATTTGTGGGGGCGGGGGAATTTGTCATCTACTGATGACTCTTGTCTGATTTGTTTCCAGTTACATCAGTATGGTGGAACATCCATGTTTGTCAGAGTACTGCCAGTCTGTGTACATGTCGCTGTTCCTGTCATGCTGCTACTTCCATTGACAAGTCTATGTTGGACACAATAATAATAACAAATTTATAGAGCGCCTAATTAGGAGATAAACATACTGTGTTTTCAATGTAGAGCTAGGTTACCTGTAGATTTAACCGCGCTAAATTGAATTTGGAACCGAACGCAACTGGGTTGAGTCCAGTGTTTTGAGTGGGTTATCGATCTGAATTACGGAATCACCGACAACAACCTGTGAACAAACTATGGCGCGTTGTACACTCAAGCAGTTTGTTTACACCCTAATATTTCACTCGAACAAATGACAGGCATTGAAAGCATATAAGCACGGCAACTTGGTAAGCTAACATGAGGTGGGCATCCCTGAAGAAAACAAAGCAACTTTTGCAAGGCTTTCGCTCTACATCACACGTCACCATTATGACGTCTACCGCTCATTGTGACGCAAAAGATATGACGTCACAGTCGAATATAGAAAAGCGCCCAAATTCCAAGCTCTCTGTTGTCTCCAAAACGTAAATACGTTCTCTTTGTAGACTTCAATCTTGTTTTCTGCACGAAATGTATTGCCACACATCCTTTGAATATTGTAGTGATGGCATCTGTGCCTTTTGTAACCTGTAATTGTAGATATAATCATTTAAACATGCCTACCGACAATAGTACTATTCTATGAATATTAGCTTCCACGGTGATGAGGCCGTCAAACCAGCTGTTTCAATCAGAGGGGGTTTATTGTGATTTAATAGCCTCTGACTGACCAATCAGAATCAAGCAAATTTCAAATTCATGGTAGAATATTCATCAATAGGTGCTCAGTGGCACTGTATATATAAAATAAGCACATGTTAAAAGACAATTGTTTTGTGGAACAGATTGTTTTTTAGAAGGTTTTTTGTTTGTGATCTGTGAATACCTGGGATCTACCTGTAATATACCTGTGATCTATCTGTAGCAACCGTTCCTTGTTTGCAGGAGCCGCCTCATCATGTCCCACGAAGACCAGCTGGCTTCAGTTACCTCCCTTTGTAAGCAGGAAATGAAACTACTGCTGAGTGCCAAGTCAGGACATCGGGTAAATATCTTCAACAACAAACTCTGTATAATCCAACCACCTGTACAGCAGTGATTTGGTCCCTCTGTGGCATCCACATGGGGATAGGTCCCATGTGTCTAACAGCAGACGATTGCGTGATGTCACACTGAGGGGTTGATTGTGTGTCAGTGGGTAGGCGCTCACAATATCAATCAGTGGATTGTCTGGTCCAGACTTATCATTTACTTGCCTCCCTGATATAGCTGGAATAGTGCTGAGAGTGCCGTGATAGAACAAACCAATAACAAATACGTCACTGTACATGCAATACTTGATATCGGACTAAACTGGGGGCTTCTGTCACTGAAGACCTTGTGTGTGGTTGTGTGCTGAGGCCAACTTTACTCCAGATGAGGCAAGGTTCTCTGTATTTACGTCAAATCCTGTTTCAGAGTTTTGAAGACTATCTGAGGAAGCTGGGGGATATTCTGAGTCACAAGATGTCGGTGATGCAGCAGCTACAAAGCCAAATCTCTGGCTACTGCAGCGACCATGGGATTCAGCGGAGATCGGTCAGCCAGTCATCCACCTCCACCATCCGATCCCACCAGCACCTGTAGCTGTCTCCGCCTCTGACATGTCACACCTCCCATAGTCCCAGAGATAATGTGAACCTAAAAATTATGCAAGCGACCTCGGGACCTGTTCGACACGCTATGGTTGTGACGTTATTTTAAAAGAAAAAGAATTCCCCTAATCAAAGGGCTATGAGGACTGTGACCTCAGTAACTGGATTATCGTGATTGGTCAGTTTTAACCCAGTGTCCACAGTATCACAATCTCCTTCAATTCCGAACTGTTAACCTGATACGATGCCTCTTTGGGTGTAGAAACGACATGAAGTATAAACTATCCCCAGTAATATACTGTGAATATGACACATTTTGCGATCAGGAAAGTGCATTAGCTTCATGACAGATATTTTTGAAGATAAACAACAAACAAAAAAGGAACCAGGCATATTTCTTTATTCACTTCAACACACTGTCATCCTGCCAGTACAAGATTAAACTAATAATCCGTCACATACGGTTTCCTTAATAACACATTGTCACTCAGTGTCAGTAGTCAAATGAGGAAAGTTCCCTAACCGTCCACATCTGGTCAAGTTGCTTACATATCACTGAGTAGTCCAGACATACACCAGCCTTATAAAACTATGGTCAGATAGACACGCTACTCCAACCTTCCTTGTCAGCTACAACAACACATGCATCTATAGTTTAAAAAACACCAACTGACACTGAGTTACCATTTTATTACACTGCTTCCTACTTTATAAAAAATAACATGAAGAAGTAGCTTTGATGTTTTGTAATCTCATCATCAGGGTGTCGCAAAACTTTCCTGATGCAGTCAAGGCTATTGTTAGCCACTCGTTATCATTTCATAGCTCAAATCTTTCCAGATACATTTACAGTAATGGCACAGTATTAGTTGTTCTTTTACAGACACAGGAATCAGCTATGTTGGTCTTGTAGCGAGACTTGCTGATCAGAAAGGCACATGACACGACCTATGGAGGTGGTTGCAAATTTTGACACAGAGAGATATCGTATCAGTGTAAAAGATCAAATTTTACAATGTTAGAGGTCCAACGAGGTCACGTTAGCGCACAGATGAAGTTGGAGAAGTCAGTTTAGTTTAAAGGAGGTAGAGACTGGGATATTACACACTCATACATCTGTCAATGAAGGATTCTCCCAACACATTGAAACAATCTTACTTGGTGCTTCATTAACTGTGCCAAATTCATCTGATCTTGAGTTTGAATCTTGAGTTTGAATCCCAGATTCGCACTAATTCTTGGTTTGTTTTCGCCGTACCAGTGCATGTGGGTCTCACAGACTAGCATCACTTCAGGCTCTCCTTTTATAACTGAAATACTGTTGGAAGCAGCATTTAACCAAACACACTCACTTAATTTGAACGCTCCATCCAACGCCTTCAAGTTCCTCATCCTTGTTCATCATCAACATCCAGTACATCATGCCAGTCTTCGTCTCCACCAACCCCTCCATGTTGAACAAGTGTAACCATGGCAACACAGTTACTTGTCACCCTTCAGTATTAGAGATCTGTAGTTGTTTAGTGTCCTGCTGTTTACAAGTGCTTTCATCTGATGACGCCGTCTAGTATCCTCGGACTGTTATCTGCATGCTTGTCCTCTCGACGTGTTTATATGTCGAGGAATATTACCAGATTAGGCTTAAAAAAATGAAAGAATTGGTTCTCAGGAAAAAAGGCCTTGGAAAATACAGTGCAGGTGGGCGGTGTTTTTGTTGTTGTTGTTTCTAGTATGTAACCAAATAAACAGTTGTGTACAATCAACCTGAGAAAGGACCTCCCTACATATATATATTCCTTGATAAGTAAAATACTGGAAAACAGTATTTGAATACCGTTGGATTTGGAATATTTAAGTTTTTTTTTTGGTTTAAAAAAAAATGGAAATAAAAGGGAAATGTGCAGGGAACTTTAATATGATGATGATGCGGGCGGTGCCTGAGAACCAAGACTAATATTTTTTTTAGCGGTCATGTTACTTTTGTCATTTTACAAAAAAGTTTTGATATTTATATGATTTGCATCCATGGGTTATGCTAATCCATGTGGGTATCCATGGACTATATAGATTTCTTGTGTTTCCCATAGACTATGTTGATATATATAGGTATCCATGGACTTTCTACATTTGTTGTCTCATTGTTACATGTCATCAGGATTCCATCCATTACTGCTCCCCAGACAGCAGAGTCTGTCCTTGCTTCATACAGACTGGTCATATACAGGGCAACGTCCTCAGGTACTCTGTGTTGTGGGAAGACAGTGGTACCTTACCATCCCACGTGAAGAGCCGGGTTACTATTGGTCATCAGCAACCCATGCTTGTCTCTCCCTGTAAAAATCTGGGTTACGTCGTTAAACAACAAACAAACAAACTGAAAACTGTTTCTGTTCCCTGTGATATTGACATCATTAAAATAGCAAGATTATAATTTAACTGATGCCTGGATATGTAGTTTCCACACACACACTTACACATACACAAGCAGTTTACATGCAGGTGTCCACACTAACAGGTTTCCACACTAACAGGGTTTCACTGTGGAGGGATCATGGCAGCCATCAGACCAATGGTTGACAGTTGTAGCATCGTAGTCAAACCCTGTCACCAAGGCTACAATGTAACAATAATGACAGTTCAAAGAGTTATCTCCCCTCCCATACTGAACAAGAATACAGTTCCAATTGAGCGTTGTTTACTCAAGTTTGTGGAAGATGATACAAGTTGTTAATGATGAGATAATCTCCTGTAGTGACCTCCACTTGCAGGCCATGTGTTGCTGTGATGTCAGTGGTCAGTCTTGGTCTGGTTTGTTTGTAGTATGTAGACAGCTTTGCTAATCTGTGACAAATGGCAGCGTGTAAACTGTGATACTTGTACCCTACCAACCCATCATGAAGCTGTTGACACCAATCACGGGTTTTACTTGCATATATTGTATTGTACTGTTTATGTTATTGACAAGAACAGATTTAATCACATTAAGTTTTACCATGCTGTTAAATTATTGATTTTATCGGTGTCAAAATCTGTTTGTTGGGATTCATTTTGAATAATGTAATATGGAAGTATTGATTACAGCACATTTCTAAACACTGCTATATTGGGACCGAAGATTGTGATGTCACCTCTTGTTACCTGTAACAATGAAACTAGGGACTCATCACAATGTCTGTGACATGATCACGCCAACTATCTTTGTTTGGAGGAACTCCTGAACTAATCCCTCAATGGTGTTCGTTTAGCTGAGTTAGTTTTACTGTGGCTGAGGGATGGGCAAATGTGTGGCCGGAAGCAGCAGAGATATTTCAACAATGCATTTAGTGGGCCGTGCTGATCTAGTGGCCAATGTCAGGACACAACTCCTTGTCGGAGCCCATGGTTGTGCACCACTTGTATGTCAAACAGTCCATCCATATTTATTTGATTTACAGTAGTTTTAATGTCTTTGCATATGATATTATAATCAAATAAATTATTTTCTATAGAAGGCTTTGATGTTATTTTTAATGTCACTGATGTCATAAATGAAACAAGATTTCAAAATGCTACAAGAAGCTACTTACTCTCCCGGCAGAGTGAACAGTGGCACCTTCTGAAAACATAGCGAGATTGAATTGTGTTTAGCCTTCGTCAACAACATACCTGGGCCTCGTTCCTCAAAGCCATCTTAGCGCTAAGGTGATCGTAACTCCCATACTTTTACATTGGCTTACGATAGTTGTAGCACTAAGATCGCTTTGTGGAACGGTGCTCAGGCCAGTGATGGTGATGAAGCATCCTCTGCGCTACTGATTTGAATCACAATACTCGTAGCTCTACAATCACTTGGTTGAATAAAGATATGGCCAATCTACTCTTGCAGCCACTGTGTCCACCCAAACACTGTCATTTGACAAACATTGTTCCACAAGATTGATACTTTAGTTGCTTTAGACCCATGAAGATCCATGTTAGAATAGGTTTTCAGGAACCCATGCTTGTCATAAGAAGCGACTAACAGGATTGGGTGATCAGGCTTGCTGACTTGGTCGATGCATGTCATCATATCCCAATTGCGGAGATGTCAATGATGCTCATGATGTCAATCACTGGATTGTCTGGTCCATTATTTACAGACCACCATCATATAGCTGGAATATTGCTGAGTACAGTGTTTCACAATAAACAAACAATTTAGTTGCTTTATTTTGTTGTATCTTGAAGAATGAGCTCCCCACTTGTTCCCCGAAGTCTTCAGAATGAGCATCTCCCTCAGACATCATGTATCTATCTATTCCTACACTTTCAATATCAGACTAAAGCTCCATTTTCTTTGAAGTTATCAATTTTAAATCAATAGCAAATGCTAAAATCTCTGACTGATTAGAACTGGTCACTAAACAGTAACTTGGCACATGAACCCGTGGAAGAATGTGACGAACATATGTACCCACATCATGTACAGACATGTGTGGGAGAACAGACTGGCCCATCAGTCTTAATCTCTGCTCCTGAGTCAATCAGCTGAGTGCTATCTCGGTGTGTGAGGTGTAGTATGTCCGGGGGAGTTGTTCCAGTACTTCTAAACAAACATTTCACATTGGACTTGAATTCTTTAATTCCATATTAAAAGCCAATATGTAATAAGTTACAATAGTTGAAAAAATATGAAAATAAACACAGAACTTGCACCATTTGAAAAATAAAACGGTTGACATCACAATTGGTAACAAAATATATATCATTCATAACAATAAATAGTCTTGACCGAGCTTACACAAATCATCTCAGTAATACTGATGTTTCTACAAATGTTATAACCCTGCAACAGCTTATATACAGTGCCATACTTTACATATAAAAAACAAAACTTTGGTAAGAACAGTGTTTGAAATACAACCAATAGTCTCAGGATGGTAAAGTTTGCTGTTATCTACTGCTGAAACTGTTGATGTGAGGACTGACTGCTGTATCTGATGCTTCAAGTGAAGTGACAGGTCATGGCAGTAAACCACAACAATGAAATTACCATCTTTTAATTACACTGCAATAAATGTCCACTGACATAAATTAGAACAACAGTATAACCATGATAAATGAAAGGGCATTCAAAATTCTACAATTGGCAACTTGACCATTTACTAATGTTGGACAAAAGAATCATCTCTGCTACAGACCCAGTTCTGGTAAACACACAAATTCATGAAAATATAATTTCAAAATACACAAGCCCAAAAGGTTGAGAATTTTAAACGATAACACCCAAATATTGCACTTTCACTTCAGGATTCATGGGACATCTAGTCAAAAATGAAGAGTGAAGACAATGCTCTAACAGTTACACATGACACTGCACATACACCAACTATTGACATAAAGTTATTTACAACTGGCAATATGTATTTTTAAAGTAAAAATATCATACCTACTTATCCTGACTCATACAAATTGCTTATCTCATCTCATTTCCAAAAGATAGTGGAATTTTCCTGTGCTGTGTTCCAAGGGAACAGAAAAAAACATTTCAACCCAACGCACCCCTGAGCAGAGAAGGTGCACTTGACAAAGCCAACTCATCACTCTCTCATTCCCTCTTTCCTCTTTTATTATTAGCCGAAACGCACATCAGGAGAAGAGCGGACAGCGGGGAGGGTACTTACGCGTATGAGTCAGGATAAGTATAAATGATATTTTTACTCTGAAAATACACCTATTACCGTATTCCGACTCAAACTAGTTGCTTGAAGCCCACAGTGTGTTCCACCTGAAATGGTGAGTCAGACTGTGAAACATTCATAAAACCCCATGGGAACATGAAACCATCTTGTTGATCTTCTTACATCTTTGTGGGTTACGGATACCGCCTGGCTGCCTTGGCTGAGTGTCCTCTTCTAGTGAGGTTGAATGTAATATGTTCCATATGTGAAGTTTGTAGAGATCCGGTCTTGGATGAACTTGTTTTAAATGAAGATTTGGCCAGTTCGGGAGTTTAAGACGAAGTCCTGCCAATCATACTGGTGAAATCTCGAAGAATGACCCAGTTGATGCCTATACTGTCTTGATCGTCAATGAATGGCCAATGATCCTCTTGGTACTGATACACTGAACCGATAACATAACTGCAACCACAATAGCCAGGATTTGGATCCTTGGGTGAGAATAATGAATAACAATGATCCTGGGACGTGGCTAGCACATGACGACTCTGTCGAATGTCTAATCGATCGTTAATGTTGTTATGATCTTCCCTGTTTAGACAAGGGTATCGATCTTGAGACTGGTGACGATGCTGTTCCTAAATGTCGCATCTGCGCCTGTCCTCCCTGTCTAATACAAGCCATGTCCACCTAACATGACATGATCTGTACCACATCTTGAATATCAGACTGACAGAATGCTGATGATAGGATCTGGTGCGATCCAGGCTGTCCTAACCTCTCCGAACCAGTAGGATTAATGAGCTAGGGTGATGATCGACGAGACGACTGAGAAATCCCTTCAGTCGAATGCAGGATATGCCCAAAGGCTGATGCTGTTGCATGGCTAACAGGACATGTTGTGTAACTATAGCTGTTTGATAATGGTACAGTACTCTGTGGAAAAAGGACATGCTGCACAAACATAGAAGGTTGTGTGAAGGCAGACATTTGCGCGAAAGATGAGGCTGTGCGAAGGACTGTGTCTGCATGAAGGTCTGTGCCAATGGGAAGGTCTGTGTCTGCATGAATGGGAGAAGCTGAGATATTGTTGGAGGTTTGGTAACCGTCTGATGTTGCGAACAAGGAGGGTTGCATGCAGGTGTCCACTTTCCCAGAGGAGGGAGGCTTCGTGGATGATAGCTTTGTCCTCTAAGAGGTGTGCACCTTTGTCAAGGTATGTGTCTTCATGAAGGGAGACAGCTCAAGAGGACGCAAGCCAGGGTCTGAAGATGATACTCTTCTTTGAGAGCGTGAGAAATTTCTTCAGAAAATGACATTGAAGGGGTAAGTGTCTTTATTCATCGTCTGAAGCTGCAAGTAGAACCTGCTGCACGAAGGTCTGTGGCTGCGTGAAGGTCTGATGCTGCTTGACAGCAAGTAGAACCTGCTGCATGAAGGTCTGTGGCTGCGTGAAGGTCTGATGCTGCTTGACAGCAAGTAGAACGTGCTGCGTGAAGGTCTGTGGCTGCGTGAAGGTCTGATGCTGCTTGACAGCAAGTAGAACCTGCTGCATGAAGGTCTGTGGCTGCGTGAAGGTCTGATGCTGCTTGACAGCAAGTAGAACGTGCTGCATGAAGGTCTGTGGCTGCGTGAAGGTCTGATGCTGCTTGACAGCAAGTAGAACCTGCTGCATGAAGGTCTGATGCTGCTTGACAGCAAGTAGAACCTGCTGCGTGAAGGTCTGTGGCTGCGTGAAGGTCTGATGCTGCTTGACAGCAAGTAGAACCTGCTGCATGAAGGTCTGTGGCTGCGTGAAGGTCTGATGCTGCGTGAAGGTCTGATGCTGCTTGACAGCAAGTAGAACCTGCTGCGTGAAGGTCTGTGGCTGCGTGAAGGTCTGATGCTGCTTGACAGCAAGTAGAACCTGCTGCATGAAGGTCTGTGGCTGCGTGAAGGTCTGATGCTGCTTGACAGCAAGTAGAACGTGCTGCGTGAAGGTCCGTGGCTGCGTGAAGGTCCGATGCTGCTTGACAGCAAGTAGAACCTGCTGCATGAAGGTCTGTGGCTGCGTGAAGGTCTGATGCTGCTTGACAGCAAGTAGAACCTGCTGCATGAAGGTCTGTGGCTGCGTGAAGGTCTGATGCTGCTTGACAGCAAGTAGAACCTGCTGCATGAAGGTCTGATGCTGCTTGACAGCAAGTAGAACCTGCTGCGTGAAGGTCTGTGGCTGCGTGAAGGTCTGATGCTGCTTGACAGCAAGTAGAACCTGCTGCATGAAGGTCTGTGGCTTTTTTTAAGGTCTGAGGCTGCGTGAAGGTCCGTGGATGGTCCGTGGCTGCATAAAGAAGTAATCCAACATGCATGACAGCGTCTGCCAGGATACTGAGGATTTCGCCACTGTCTGAAGCTGCTTGCAGGTGGTCGGCTGCGTGCAGGAATCTTTCTTCAGCAACTTCAAAGCAGGCTTCATGCACACCTTCACGGATAATGATGCAAACGGCTTCGTGGTGGTGATGAACTTTGTGACAACATGCTATCTCTTGGCTGGAGACGACTTCAATGAGGAAGAGCTGCTTCTCTTCTTGACTGATGTCTGAAGGCTCTTACTGTGTTGGGAGGAGACAGCAGAAGATTCAATCTGAGGGGGTTGACCTTCTGCTGCCTAGGGAAGAGCTTGTAGGGATGACTGGTTGTTCTGTAAGGTAGGAAGTTCTTAGTCACACGGCTTAGTCACACGGTTCTGGCGCTCCTGCATGGCTCAGCAGTGGAAACACAGCACAGGCAGTTTCCACAACCTTTCGGAAATGAGATGAGATAAGCAACTAGTATGAGACTGGATAAGCTAACATAAACAGTTTCCTTGATGTGGACACTTGACAGACTGATCAAGCCTCCTGTGTAAAGGAGACAGCCAACAGAATGTTGTTTGAATTTGTCTTTCCCCTCTTTCAGGGCGTTATATCTCCATTATGATAACTACCCTGGATCTAGCCATCTGAGTGGTGTCGCCATCTCTGTCTCTCTTGTCACTAGTTTAACAGAGACTCTCAGTCCCATGAGTGTTCTATGATCAGGTAGCTAGAATGCACTTATTTGAATCAGGATTGACCTGAAGCGGATGGGCCCAGGGTACTTATCATGACATTATGGAGATTTAATACACTTAATCGAGGATGTGATGACGTCAACTGACAAAAAGTTGAACATTAACTACCTTGTGTGTAAACCAGCATGGCTAGGCAACATGTGAAGGCAACTAGAAAAAGTCATTGTTTCATTTATTAATGATGAAGTGTCAGCTAAAATCTGTGACATAGACCTCTGTTATCTGTGACAGAGATGACAGGGATTTTCATTACAGAAAACAGGGATTTCCAACACAGGAAACAGGGGTCAGCATAACAGATAACAGGTCAGCATAACAGAAAACAGATTTCCATCACAGAAAACACGGGTCAGCGTAACAGATAACGGGTCGGCATAACAGAAAACAGATTTCCATCACAGAAAACATGGGTCAGCAAAACAAAGTCAGGGGTCTCCATCACAAATAGGGTCAGCATAACAAAAATAAGAGAGGTCAGCATCAGATAATGGGACGTCACAGATAACACGTTTGTATTACAAATGACTGGGGTCTATGTCACATATGACGGGGGATCTATGTCACATATAACAGGTGACTATGTCACTACTTAACAAAGATACACTAACACCAGAGCTAACTCGATATTTGAGAATGTTTTCTATCATGATTAACTATCATATCTATGTAATTCAATATGCAAGAACCAACATCACAATATTGCCATTGACGGCACACATATAGAAAGTTTAGAAATCGGAATGAAGAATTGTAGATAACAATTTGAAAAGTCAGGGAAAGACTCCATCACATTCAGAAGTGACAAGTTTACATTAATGAGGCATTATATAGCTGATAACTGGCTTTGATCTCAGTCCTGCACAATGAAATGGCTTCTCTCATACAAGTCGCAACTTTAGAGATTAAGTTGCGGTGTTCAGATTGATGGATCATCGGTCAACACGCTGCAGCAACAGGTGGTCAGGAGCTGGTTTCTTTCATCAAGAAATACAGCGTAAGAGAACAGTTCCAAATTTGGACGTTAAATAAAAATCTTAATTCCTTAAGACTGGAGACGTACATCCTGACACCCCCCATTATCATTTAAAAGGTTGACATCCTCAAAGGCTTTCAGAATGGAAGACACACAAATCATAGCAGGAAGTTAATCAAAACATAGCCCACGTTATTGAGCTGCACCATCCTTCTGAGGAAGGATTCCAATCTCATAAAAAAACAGATCTTAGTTCTCGCTGCCTCTACTGGGTAAACAAAGATCTTAGAACACCCCATTACGGGTCACATCAGAACGACCTTTCATCCGACCAATCAAAACGTCATCTACCAGATAAGGAAAGTGAGAGTAGGAATACTTTTCTTATCATGCAACCCGGGGGTATTCCAAACAGTTAGGGGCTGTACGATGAACTCCGTGAAAATCATCCTCTATCTCTTGCTTCAATTGGAAAAAACAAAAAGAGACTTTCCATACCCCGTGGGAAGTATTGCCATACAATCTCGGCCATCTATTAGACATTCCAGAATTTTCTTTCGTTCAATTTTCAAATTTTGAATCTAGAACTATGTCGAAATATTTTCAAAGCAAAGTTTGAAATCAAAGACGCCAGTTTGAAACTAGTGCCGTAACGCTTGAGAAAGCTGTTTTCTGATTGGCTAAAGTTGACTTCAAGCTTGTAAAGTCATTCTATTGGTCGGTCAAAGGTTGTGACAGGTCGTTCTGACGTGACCTTAACTGGATGTCCTCAGATCATTGTTTAACTGGCACGATCTTTCTTATTTTTCACCTCATTATAACTGCGATAATAATGCTGTTCATTTTCAGAGAGACAATATGATTGGAGCTGTCATTTTTCTGACATGAACTGTAAAAGTCCTGAAAAGTTTGGATGGAAACCTTGCATACTTGTTAATCCCCCACACCGAACTTAAGGAATTGAGATTCTAACCATTCTTCTTGATCTGCTGCCTAGGATAAGGCTGAGTGGACAGATGTACAACACAAAGTATCACACATCAGTCACCATTTAATACTTCTGTGATTTTGTTGTGCTTATGGTAAGACATTTTCAGATCTTTATACTGTTTACACCATGGAGAACAATAACACCAATATACCAGATTAAGTACTTCATACACAAATACCACCGAATAGTGCTCCAGCAAAGTGCGGCTGGAGGCCAGTGATTACATTACAAATAATTGCTTGCTTGAATTGAGAGTGGACACTCGTATTTCCTTGTGGATGACATTTTCTATGTCAATATGTACATAATGTTCATGATGGCATCACATAATTAAAAGATCTTCACATTTAAGGTTTTGTTAATTTGGACCTTGGAAGTATTTGGTGTTACCTCCACATATATCACTGATATTTAATGCATGCCAGGCAAAATTTCCACAGCAAAATATCATTTTATGAACAAGCATGTTACATTGTAGGCCAGGGTTTTTCATCCTCGATTATCCAGTGTATCAATCTCCTTTCTATTATGATGAATATCATTACCCATTCACTACCGCAGCTTGGTCCAATCAATGATCATGATGACTGCATCATGAAAGAAACAAGCAGTGATATCACCACTTTGTTTGTTTGTTGTTTAACGCTAATTAATTTTCCAGCTATATCATGTATATGACTGCAGTCTGTAAATAATCGAGACGATCGAGTGATGGACATCTTGAGCATCCATCCACACAATTGGGATATGATGACATGCATCAACAAAGTCAGCAAGCCTGACCATCTGATTCTGTTAGTCACCTCTTACGACAAGCATAGTCGCCTTTTACGACAAGCATGGGTTGCTGAAGACCTATTCTAACCCGGATCTGGTGAAATCACCAGTACTTGACTCGCCTTCTGCGTTTCCAACACAACTGTAAACATGTGTTAGCATAAGGACTTCCTTCCCCACCTACTACACAGGAAGTCATCATCTCAGCCACATGTACTTAAAGAGCAATCTTCTGATTCCATGAACTAAATTCTGTGCTAAGTTAGTGATAAGAGAAATGGCGACATCACTTGGGAAATGAAGCTATTGTGGCTAAAGGGCCCAAGATATTTATCCTAATTTAATAGAGATATAACACACTGGCTAATTGAGGATGGAGCATCTAATGTTCTCACAAAGTACACAACAAAGGCGAAGGGTGGCTTTATATCACAGCAGCACAGTTAACATGGATGTTTTATAGTCAGTAACATCTCGAAATATACAGTAGCATAAATATGTAAAAAATCATCTTGTGCAAAGTTTGCGATCAGTAGATCACGAAACTCCTTAGACAAACATTGCAGGAAATGTTCACAACATGGGATATACTTTAAAACAGGGCCAAGATTCTAATGACATGAACAAGAGTGAGTGAGTGAGTTGGGTTTAACGCCACTTTAAACATTATTCCAGTTATATCACGGCGTGTCAGCTTAATGTGGGAGGAAAGCCCGAAGTGATGCAGGTTTCAGATGTTTACCACTTCAGTGAAACCCATGAGCACGGGTATGGTGCTGACAAACCTAGAAACATAATCAGGGCGAACCGGGATTCGAACCCACAATCATAGGTTTCTGGCATGCCCAAGGGACGCAACTCTGTGAAGCGAATCACGGCGCCTTAGACCACTGGGCCACCCGTGCCCCCACATGAACAAGCATTTGTTTAAATCAAAGGTTCACTTGTTTGCTAAGGAAACTGGTGCTTTGGCAAGAGAAGCTGAACATGATGAAGGCTTCAACCAGGGGTTGGCCAATACACCATAGAATCATATGCTTTGAATCAATCGTTCCTTTCTCAATGAACAAGTCATGTCCATGAAAATAACAGAGGTGAGATCAAAATGAAAGATAAATAGCTGTGTGTCAATAAACTTTTGTGCCAAAATAGTTGCTAAATACAGTTCCTCCTCTAAACATTTTCTTTCAAGACAAAATCAAACTCATTTTAGTTAATGAATTAAGCATGTCAAGTGATATGTAAGTTTTGAGGTTGGTCTTTATTTCAACTGGCACTCATATATAATGCCCTCCAACAACTGCCAACATTGTCCAACAACTGCCAACATTTTCCAACAACTGCCAACATTGTCCAACAACTGCCAACATTGTCCAACAACTGCCAACATTGTCCAACAACAGCCATGTAAACACAACTTGTTCTGTTAATGACTGGCTTCTTTCCTTGGATTTCAATAGTTCCTGGAAGTTTCCTCTTCTTCCAGAGAATTCTCCATATCAGCATCAGTCACTGGAAAATGAGGAAATCCAAAGAAAAAAGCCAGCCATGAACAGAGACAAAGGCATTAACCTACCCAGCATGTACTCAACTGTTCTCTCATCATAGCATCAACCACAAATGGACATCTTGATCACCATCTGTTGTTAGTGTTACCACAGGCAGCCCCTTGTTATTACGCCCAGCTCAACCACTCACCGTCATCGTACTTCATTGGCTTCTCTAGTGTTAATCTCATTGGCTACGTCATTATATTGTTATCTTTGTACATAAACCCTACCATGTGTTAACACATCATCACGTATATATATCAACTCTGTATGTTCACTCAGTATTCACCTGATGAAGGGACAAAAGTAGCTCTGAAACATTGTGACAAAGAATTAAAGAAGTTGTTATCAATAAAAAATTGTCATGTATTCATGTTCTTCAAACTACTTAATGCCTATCAGTCTCCATGGCTGTTGGCATTAAAACGTCACAAGTGTTTTCAACCAAATACTACTTCTCCTGCTTACTTGTTATGAGAATTCATGCAGATTGCTATCTAGTTGTATGTATCGTATGTATGTTGTATGTTCATGACTTTTGACCTGGAACCAAACATTTCTAATTTTTGAAAAACCATGTTCAAAGTTTATTTAATAGTTTAATAGTCTTCAGCGTGACGAGCGTACACTTTAACCACAAGGCTACCCCACCGCCCCACAAAGACAATGTAGCTCACCTGCCATGTTCCTAGTGATACAGTGTAATCGGCACTGCTTTACATGGGATGGCTGTAATGCAATAATGTAATATTCAGAGGATGTGCTTATTACTGTTATATCCTTTTCTTTTGCTACATATCGTACTAAAGTTTCAGTTCCCTTGACCTTCAAGGTCATAAAAGTTGTTTTTACAAAAGGAAGAAAATAATAACCTTCTTCTCACATGCTTTGATCTGAGTCCAGTTAAGGTGCTACATATCCACAAAAAGTTTCAGGATAGAGACAAAAAGAGTATTTGGTTGAAACTTTAATTTTTTGTCTGAAAGCAGACATAAATTGCTTTCATCAGTGTTCATGGTCTCCCTGACAGCCTGGGGACAGACAGTCAGGGTATACCTGCTGATTTCTGTGACAAAATACCCTGCATGGTCCTCAGCACCACGTCCGACACAGTGTCCAACTCTGCCCTATTCTGTCCCTGTTAGTGGTCAATATGGCACTGAGTTCATTCACAATATATAGGTCAAAACATGAAATCCTCAAGCACCATGGCCTTAGTCTTAAACAAGTAGTCAATTTCTCCCAAGGAGATATAATTCTTAATGGTCTCTGGAAGCTGCATCTGTAGCAGCGCATCAGGTACAAAACAAGTGATACTTCGTCTGAGTGTGACTCGGCACTGGTGCATCAAGGACAGGGGACTGCTCTCGTACCTCCAGCACCACCTTGCTATCTCGGGGCAGATCTTCTTGATGACACTCACGTCTGACTTGGTATAATGCCAGCCTGCCCCACTGGCATACAGGATCAGTTTCCGAAATACTGATGCTTTTGTCTCTCTGCATGCCCAATGGGATTCTTTGTAGTATTCAAAAGAATTGAAAACAACACACAGATTTTCACCATGCACAATCTTTAAGAGTTTGACAGTAAAGTCGGCCGAGCGCTGCAGGAAGGGGTCAATGATTCCAGCACACATGGGCTGAAGCCGGTGCAGCTTCTGAAGTAGCAAATCATGGAACTGTAGTGACGTCGCATGAGCTATGCATGTGTCGATAATACGGAAGATAAAGTCATGGTCCTCAATTTTGAGGGCTGTGCGAATTACGTACATCATGGCATCCTTGCGGACAGGTTCTGCATGATTCTCCAACAGAACTGAGACAATCTGCCAGCATATAGCATGGCGTGGTTCCAGACGGTTGTCGAAAGTTGTAACCAGCGCTAGATCTAGGGGAGAACAGTTGCTTATGTTGACATAATTTTTATCACAGTTTTTCTGTTTGAGCAAAATCTGGACCATATCAATATGACTCAGTTTCACTGCAAGGATTAATGCAGTTTCCTGGCGGTCGTTGAGAGGTAGATTGACATTGATGTGTTTGAGCAAGTCTTGAAGGTCACTGGAACTATTGTTAATGATGGCATTCTCCAACGCTCTGGACTTGGCCAAGGTTGGCGACAGTTTTCTTTCTGTGTCACATTCATAATCCATATTAGTGGCGCCAAGGATCACATACCGATTCCATCAGGGTCATGCTTTGGGGAAAAACCTGGAAATACAAATCAAATGGAATATGATTTTCTTCTTGATTAGCTTGTTTCAATGATCAAATGAAATTGTAAAATGATAGGGAGTGTGTGCTGCAATTTGATTGGTTGAAAAACATTTAATGGGATTCAAAGCCTGGAAATCTTATTGACTACCCATTTCGTAAGCATACCATTTCTTGATAAGTATCTTTTTCAAAACAGGCCATTTTATTGATTATTCTATGCCCAGAATATTTAATACTCAAAACTTTCAGCTAACACCATTGGTTCCAAATGAAATGTCAGGATATCAGATACTTGATAAAACCTGACAATCTGAAAACATATAATGTTTATCGCCTAATTAATTTGATTAATTTGAACAGTTTTAACGCACCATGGGAAGGAATCATAGGCCACATAGGGTTCTACTACTACCGTTTGAGGCAAGGCGCTGGTTACCATGGTAACATAATCAGAGATAATCTGGGATTCAATCAAAAATATTTAACCAGCTATGGAACTATTTGTTTTGATTATCAAAACTGACTTTTCTGGGAACTGCTGCGAAACAAAAATTAGTTGAACACAATAAATGTTTATTTGATGGCTTGTTTGTTGTTTAACACAGCACTCAGCAGTATTCCAGCTATATGGCAGCGGTCTGTAAATAATCAAGTCTGGACCAGACAATCCAGTGATTGACATCATGAAAATTGATCTACGTTATTGGGATACGATGACATGCATCAACCAAGTCAGCAAGCCTGACCACCTGATCCTGTTAGTGGCCTCTTACGACAAGCATAGTACTACTAAACACTACATTCTAAAATGCACGAAACTATTATGACATCACAGTCTTGTAAACAATACATTTTAAAACGCACTACACTAATATCACATCAGTCTCATAAACACTACATTCTAAATAGGGTTAAATATTGCATTCCAGATTATAGTAGCCTGCAGCCTCGGGGAACCGGGGAAACAGAACAAAACCCACTAGCTAACCTTTATGATTGATTGTGTTATCTATTTCAGATATCAATTATTTTATTTCACTATGCATATTATACTGATAAAAGTTTATTATTTACATTCGTCGCACCGACAACTCCAGCCTATCGTGGAAAAATTGTGTATGGAGGTCTGAATTGAACAAAAACAATACATAATTCTACCTACCAGTACCACTAGATCTGATGATGCCAGACTTCAGTAATTTATCCAAAGACAGCACAAGCACAATTCAGTATGTGTAATAATTAGTAGGTATTCAAAGCATATTTACCAAAAAGTAAGAATTGTTTGTTTTTTATCAATAACAAAATATCAGGAAAGATAGTTTAAGATTTTTATTTTAGAATTGGATGAAAATAAGTTTTCCAAAAAAGTGGAAAAAAATGTTAAAAGCTAACAATAAATATTTAAAAAACACTCCTTTTAATGACAACAGTATGTATGTATCATTTGGCTACTGGTGAAGAACGTACTGCTAGTTATGGAATTATGGCCCTTATATTACCTATTAAAACAATCTGGCCACATAGCGGGAAAAATATGTAGACTACGTCACTTCCATTGCCTTATTTGTCACCATGACTGTGCAGACGATCTAGCTCAGGTCGATAGAGAAAGTTTACTTGGGAAACTGCGGGTCATATCGTAGTCCATTGATATATTGGTGTAAGGTGATTTTAAATGCTAAAAAGATGCCAGAAGTAAACTTGTATCAACACGTTAATAAATCCTTACTAACAGTAGAAGGAACATTCTGCAGAAATTGAAATTGTTTAAGAAGCAAGCACTTCCTGGTTACTGATTTGCATTAGTAAACGGACGCAAGGATGCGAGTTATATAGGCGTATGGCAACGTTCAGGCACACATATAAAGGTCAGAAGGAATGTGAGCATAGAAAGAAATACCAAGATTAGCGACTTGTAGTGTAGCCATGAAGTATTATAGTTACTGTAGTCCTGTGACTGACCACGGGGCTGGGTAGTCCTGTGACTGACCACGGGGCTGGGTAGTCCTGTGACTGACCACGGGGCTGGGTCGTCCTGTGGGTATCGAGGCCCTACTCTGGAAACACCATGTAGCCTGGTCACAAACATATTCACAAATATACAATAGATTTATTATCCCATTAAGTTAATTATGAAATTAATTGAGTATAATCTTGTATTGATATTGTTTTACACACCTGATATGAGAATGCTATTTTTAAAAAGGATGAGACTTTCGCCCGTATACCCCATAAGTATACACAAATATAAGGAATGGGCGGCACGTAGGCCTGTAAGTGTAACGTTTGGATGGGGGAAGTCTTTCCCTTGCATCATCATTTACAAAGTATCACAATACATCTTTACTACAGATGTTAATATGTATCATAATACAGTCCTCAGTGGCACAGTTAACAGTACACCAAGCAGTATAGCCTAATTAACCCGAACTGTTGGGGAACAGCGTTCAGGGACGCCGGTGGTCAGCAGACACGCTCGACGAGAAAGTGAGATGACATAATTTGTGCACAAACGTTTCCTTTTTGCACATAGAAAGTTCAGAAAAATATCTACACATTAATCCATCGGAGAGGTAGAAGTGTCACACCGCAGGCATATCAGCTGACACCGTGCATCAGCACATGGAATCAGCTGAACTGGAGGTAACAAATTGTAAACAAGATTCACTTCCGGTGGAGACTCGGGTATCTTCGCTACGTTCCGTTTGAAATCGGAATATGGGCCATCTCCGTCTCTCGACGTTGCCTGACATTGGTGGCCTCGTCTATGAAATCTTTTATAACATTTCTCTCTTTTAAACAAATTTATTTATAATTTTGATTTAATATGTGTAATGTAGATAGCTGGATTTTGCTTTTATAATGTAGATTGTATTTGATAAAGTTAAATGACGATATCCCGGGCCACAGCCAGAGTGCAGGGTGCCGTTGGACGAAACAGCTTAGCGCTACGATTGTCGTAAGTCTATGTTAAGGTATCGTAGAGTTACGATCACCATAGCACTAAGATCGCTTTGTACATCCAGAACGGCCCCAAGGACTATTTCTCAGCAGAGATGAAGTTCAGATTTCAGGATACCTCAGGAACCAACGATGATACATTCGATACCAAACACACATACATGTTGCTCAGTGATACGATCTCCATTATCTGTGCCCCAGAGTAACTATCCTGACCCCCCACCCCCAACCCAGAAGCCCCCTTGACCCCCCTCCGCCCCCCTATATGTCACATGGGATATTCGTCACTTGTTACAGCCCTTAGACATGATGACGTGTCTAATTAGAATAAGGGGCCAAATCTCCCTACTGAATCATATAGACATATGCTAGATTAAATGAGACTAATTCTCATACACAGATGCATTTGACATCTTCATGTTAGGTCTTAGATATGTATTCATGAGTAGATATATTTGTGATAAGTATGTTATTCATCTCTACTGAAATTAGAGATGTCTGTTAGAAGCGGCCGCTGGTCATCTGTCGCCATGTTGCATGGTGTCGCGACAGGGCCAGGTCACAGACCGGGTCGGCCCTTTGTCGATTACCAGCATACCACTGCAACCTCACGAAATCCTAGTGTGATGTAGTATGACCAACATGACCCGTGAAGATCCGTGTGAGAATCGGTTGGTCTGGCTCGCTGACTTGGTTGCATAGGGATCCAGAGGAGGTGTCCACGAACCCCCCCCCCCCCCCCCCCCCCCCCTTTTGGATCCCGCCCTTTTAAAAATGCTGGATCCGCCCTTGCATTTGCGTAGATCGATGCTCATGATGTCAATGTGATGTGGTAACTGTGATGTGTGGTTCAGAAATGTAGCGTTTACAGGACTGTGATGTCATATTATATTTGTGCTATTCAGAATGCTCTACAGGACTGTGATGTCATAATAGTCTTGTGCATTTTAGAATGTAGTGTTTAGTAGTACTATGCTTGTTGTATAAAGAGGCGACTAACGGGAGCAGGTGGTCAGGCTTGCTCACTTGGTTGATGCATGTCATAGTATCCAAGTTGCGTAGATCGATGTTCATGATGTCAATCACTAGATTGTCTGGTCCAGACTCGATTATTTACAGACCGCCGTCGTGTAACTGGAATGTTGCTGAGTGCATCGTTAAACAACAAACAAACAACACAACATGTATACACGGTCAGAAGCTTGAAGTCATTGTGTTTATGGACGACAGCCTCTTTCACCGAGTCACAACACGGAAGAAGTCGTTTCCTTGATGACGGTTTAAAGGCTACTCCGTTTCGCTGATAGTCAAGTACCAGTTAGACTTGCACAAGTCTCTAAGGCAAAAAAAATATTAGTTTCAATCACAATTTTTAGATTATGTAAATAATAAGAAAAAGTTGTCTCTATAAGAGACTGGCGTCCTTGCCTTTTATAAAGATAGAATTACTTTACAACCATGGTCTTATCATTCAGTACAGCCCTCGAGCAAGGCTAAGTACCAGTGCGATGCGCCGTGAGTGTACGGACAGTGTTAACGTGTCACAGGCCTGCTTGACAGTGAAACGTACAACTACTCCTTGTGTTTGATGGAACACGCTGGCCTTGGGCATCTTGTTGTTTCTATTGATGATACAATAATAACTTCAGAAGTAGTCTTAATAACAACGCCATTAAAAGAATCTCAAATAAATAAAGTATGACACACAGGCACATACACATACACACACATGGATAAATACACACGTGATGCACATATGGCACGTGATACGCACATGAGGCGCATAGCGGTATAGTGGTTAACGAGTGACACATGTAGCGGTATAGTGGTTAACGAGTGACACCTTTAGCGGTATAGTGGTTAACGAGTGACACCTCTAGCGGTATAGTGGTTAACGAGTGACACCTCTAGCGGTATAGTGGTTAACGAGTGACACCTCTAGCGGTATAGTGGTTAACGAGTGACACCTTTAGCGGTATAGTGGTTAACGAGTGACACCTCTAGCGGTATAGTGGTTAACGAGTGACACCTCTAGCGGTATAGTGGTTAACGAGTGACACCTTTAGCGGTATAGTGGTTAACGAGTGACACCTCTAGCGGTATAGTGGTTAACGAGTGAAACATGTAACGGTATACAGGGATGTGAAATCTCCGCGGAAACGCGGAAAATCGCGTTTTTTAAAACAGTAGTCCTAGGAAAAAATCATCTTCCGCGGAAAAAAATATTAAATTTAAAAAAAAAAACACTCCGAAAAATATGATCGAAAACCGGACAATTTGCGCGGATTGTCCTGTTTTCGATCGGAGCTTTCACAGCATAGGTTTTCGGACATCATACGTTTTCTGTCACGAATACTTGCACTATAACGTGGGGCATGGCGTCACACAGAAATTGTAAATACTCAGAGTCAGCTGATGGCTTGTTTTTAAGATAAAGTTGTCTTTTAGCCTGTAAGTGAATGAGATGTTTTACAGTTGTTCATGTGATAAGCGAGAAATTTATGAATGTTTCTTCAGCGTCCAAAACCCCATGTCATGGGGATATATATTGTATTAATGTCTTATGTTTGCAATGGAGTTTTGTTTTTTTCATCAAAAGGTAAGTACAAGGTAAGTTTTTTTTCAATATGCTTCAACATGGGGAAAGGGTCAGACATTGCACACTTGTGACAGTTGTCCTTGTGTCTGGGGGATGGGGGTTGAAGTTTATGGCAGTATTGCTCCCAGACCTGGCGGGTAGCCAGGTGCGCGAAAGCTATGCCCGATTTTTTTAAAGTACTGATTTAACTTCGAAATTTTACTGCATCTGCCATCTTGTTTATTTTACTTATTGACTTTTGCCATTGACTTATTACATTTCTTGGTGTGAATGTTGTCCAAACTGCATGAAATTGCTTAAAATGCAATCAAATGTTTTAAAAATTTCTGGGGGGGCATACCCCCAGACCCCCATAGACTTTTCCTCTTTTTTCGGCAAAATCTGCTCACATCCCTGGGTATAGTGGTTATAACGAGTGACACCTCTAGCGGTATAGTGGTTAACGAGTGACACCTCTAGCGGTATAGTGGTTAACGAGTGACACCTTTAGCAGTATAGTGGTTAATGAGTGACACCTCTAGCGGTATAGTGGTTAACGAGTGATACTCTAGCGTTATAGTGGTTAACGAGTGACACATGTAGCGGTATAGTGGTTAACGAGTGACACCTCTAGCGGTATAGTGGTTAACGAGTGACACCTCTAGCGGTATAGTGGTTAACGAGTGACACCTCTAGCGGTATAGTGGTTAACGAGTGACACCTCTAGCGGTATAGTGGTTAACGAGTGACACCTTTAGCGGTATAGTGGTTAACGAGTGACACCTCTAGCGGTATAGTGGTTAACGAGTGACACCTTTAGCGGTATAGTGGTTAACGAGTGACACCTCTAGCGGTATAGTGGTTAACGAGTGACACCTCTAGCGGTATAGTGGTTAACGAGTGACACCTCTAGCGGTATAGTGGTTAACGAGTGACACCTCTAGCGGTATAGTGGTTAACGTGTGACACCTCTAGCGGTATAGTGGTTAACGAGTGACACCTCTAGCGGTATAGTGGTTAACGAGTGAAACATGTAGCGGTATAGTGGTTAACGAGTGACACCTCTAGCGGTATAGTGGTTAACGAGTGACACCTTTAGCGGTATAGTGGTTAACGAGTGACACCTCTAGCGGTATAGTGGTTAACGAGTGACACCTCTAGCGGTATAGTGGTTAACGAGTGACACCTCTAGCGGTATAGTGGTTAAGGAGTGACACCTCTAGCGGTATAGTGGTTAACGAGTGACACATGTAGCGGTATAGTGGTTAACGAGTGACACCTCTAGCGGTATAACGGTTATGGAGTGATACCCCTGGCGGTAGTGGAGAATGAAAAATACCTCTAGCATTAGCGGTTAACGAGAGACACCTCTAGCGGTATAGTGGTTAACGAGTGACACCTCTAGCGGTATAACGGTTACGGAGTGATACCCCTGGCGGTAGTGGAGAATGAAAAATACCTCTAGCATTAGCGGTTAACGAGAGACACCTCTAGCGGTATAGTGGTTAACGAGTGACACCTCTAGCGGTATAACGGTTACGGAGTGATACCCCTGGCGGTAGTGGAGAATGAAAAATACCTCTAGCATTAGCGGTTAACGAGAGACACCTCTAGCGGTATAGTGGTTAACGAGAGACACATCTAGCGGTATACCGGTTAACGAGTGACACCTGTAGCGGTATAGTGGTTGACGAGAGACACATCTAGCGGTAGTGGTTAGCACAGGTCCTATCATGGCAAAGGCGTGCCTCTGTGCATATTTCACATTTAAATATAAAAGGGACATTTCAAAAGAAAAATCGTATCCTGTTTGTTACAGTCAATGTCTATATATAATCAGGCAGTTTGTACATTGACTGATTCACTCGGGTAATGTATAGATTGGCTAAACTACTCTGGCAAAAATGCACATATTGACTAAACGTTTCAGTTAATATACATATTGTCTGATTACAGACATTGACTGTAACATAATATGTTTCTGACGAGACATGCTTGTTTTGCAAAAAGTGACGCGCTCAAACTTAAATGCAGAAACCGAAATCAGTTATGTAAAGACATGTTATGTAACTGTATCCCATGGTAACACTACTTTCATTATCCTTTCAACCACTTCGTCTTCCATCGTGTGACGTGACCAAGTCCCAGGGACCGGCTGGGGCAACAGCTGTCATTCATCGCCCTTCATACCAACTTTAAATGTCAGCAGGTATCTGTGGTTACAATATGTTATATGCAGATATTTAAAAGAAAAGAAAGTATGATGTAAACACCAATATTATTTGAAAATAAATAAATAGTGGTGTTTAACCTTTTTTCATGTGTATATATTATGATTCAGCACTTTATGTGTAGAGACGTGAGTGGATAATACTTAAATAGCACGTTCACCGAGCTTCATGAATGGTGCAGAAGAAAGCGTGTAAATTACAAAAATAGATAATTAAAAGACATAGCATATTTTCTTCCTGTTTTATTCATCAAAATCAAATATGATCGAACAATGTTTGTTATGCGCGGCCAGTAGAGAACGATTTTTCATCTTCGATTTCCCTTGACTGCGGACGTACGTCACATGAACCGTCTGGCGTGTATTGACGCGACCCGTCATCACACTCAAACTGCTCCTTGTATCAGTCTTATACGCTATGGACAGTCATCTGATTTAAATCTAAAGACTTTCATCTACAGCTGATTTAACTCCATGTATTCTCATATCAATGTCAAATTTGACGACCCATCCACAAATGTCAGTGATAATAGGCTTCGCATGTACACTGAAATGCACTGGGAAGCTGTAGGTGGTCGAAGCATATTAAAACACGAGCTGTGACCGAGTTTGATCTGTGACTGCCACGCAAGGCGCTTCCAAACTTAACAGCCTGTTTACTTAAATCCCATACTTGGCTGCCATGCTGTTATCAATACCCATATAGCCGTCATATCATAGCCAGCTGTGTCGTGTCCGATGTGGCAAAACAAATATTAGTGACCGATCACTGCAATGTGTCTCCATACATTGTAGATGTTCTTTTTGTGTGAAAAAAAAAGAACATAAATGTTTGATTGATCCATTCTCTAATTCCAGACCTATACATTACAGATGCTGTAATGTCACATTTAAACAGCATCTGTCCCTGAGATTAGCTGGCGATAATGCTGTTATAACGCTGTCAGTCGGTAGATCTATAACCTAATGTATTAATGTAGCGTAAATATAGGTAACGTTGACACATACAGATGGGTGATGTGTCATTTACTAACATATGATGTTTATAAAACGTAAATTCTAAATCCCCAGCGGTGGGGTCGTCAGAGTTTGAATTCCTACCTGTCACCACAAAGGTCACGCATATGAACCTTATGAAAAAGACGACATAATATATTGGGGGTGTAGAAAACGTCCCAATGCAAAAATGTTCACAGACAATTTGGAGAAAATATACTAACACAAATCTGTAGTGACTTAGTTTATTTATTGTTTAGACATTCAGTTAATTTATTGATATTCTGGAATGTCACAATGTCACATGGTTTCCAAGTCCACCTGCAACTCTTCCCAAAATGTGTGGCCATTTTCACTAGAATTTGGGCTCATTTTCTCCAAACTGTTTGGTGCCAATTTTGCATGTGTTCATTTTCTTTCTGACCCTAGATGGCACATATCTGCATTATCAGGAGTGCTATTATATGTTATATCATACTTAAAAATTCCAATATTTCTGTTCATACTATACGAACAGATGTTGTATTTTGTATGGCATTTCTAACATTCGTTTTTAATCGTGTGTCTTGATTGCTGAATGTCAAAGGTTTTGAGCAAGTTGCTTGGAAATCTGCCAATCAGCGTGCGACACATTTTATGCCCATTTGTCAAAAATAGTTCACAATAGTTCAATCAAACAACGTCAACGCCTGTATAAATTGCCGATTATCTGGAAACATTTCATACTAACAATTGTATGTAACATTTTCAAGAGACAGGATAAACAATTTTCTTTATTAATAGAATCTTGATGAAGATTTGCTGCGATCAGCGAACATTGATGTTCGGAGCTTTACAAATGAACCGGTGTTGTTTGTGAAAGCGCTTTCTACAACGAACAATGTAAGGAGTTTGCTTTTCCAGCAACAGGTGTCTTGACCCGGAAGAACTCCACGAAGGTCAGACATCGTGGACCAATGAGAATCCGACAACGCACGAGCCGGGTCCACGTTAGGTCACTTCCACAAGCACGTTGCAGGGTAAAGGTGTGCGAAATTTATTAGAAATTAGACTCTCATCGAAGGCAAGATGAAGATTGTCGTCGTAGCTCTTGCTCTTATCGCCGCTGCTCAGGCCAGCGACGTCCTCGAATTAACAGATACCGACTTTAAATCTAAAGCTGCTCAACATGAATTGACCCTTGTCGAGTTCTTCGCACCGTGGTAAGTTTGGATGCCTGATACGTGCTCACGTTTCAACAATCTTCATTCAATTCCATTATAAAACTCCTTAGGCCTGCTTATTTTCCACATTCACGTCTAGAAGTATTAACATAACACTTTGCTGTGCCGACATGTATAAGAACGATGAATGATGACACACTGTCAGCATACCAAGTGTGTGTGAATACCTCTCATGGGCCTACAAACATGGTAAAGTTACATAGAACATTTATTTTCCTTTATTGCTGAACTGATGTGTGGAAGGCAGAAAATGGTGTTTCATTTAGGGATTAAACAATCAAATGAATTGGTAGTATTACTTAATCACAGTAATGGCATACCAGGTTTAACCGAAGATAAATTGTAGTCTACTTGAAACTTTAAGGGTAAATAAACTTTGTAATTTTTAGTTTTGGGAAGGTAAATAAAGTTTTGGGAAGGTAAATAATCAGATAGTGTTGAGTATTTTTTCTATTTACGCAATGGACAACCAGCTAAGCTAAACACTGATTTTCAATTTTCAGTTTTGGTTTTTAGCATGTCTAGCTGACAATAACTTCCTTATGTTGAATGTACACGTCACTACTGGGAAGAGTCTAGTCATTATTACAAAGTACTTGTACTAGCTGTTAAGATAATTGGTCTTGAAGAGCTGATATGTTTATTAGTCAAGCAATTGTTTCCTGGCCAAAGCAGCCATTGCAATGACACTTGACATGTTTGTGATGACAGTTTTTAATATAAAATGGTTTTGAGATTGTCAAAAGCTACAAGAGTGTTATCACAATGACATATGGTAGTATCAGATATTTGTTTTACGTTCGGATATTGATTAGCTTTGAAAATTAAGCATTATCAATATTGTAACTGGGGGTGTTCATGAATAACACGAGTCATTATTTGTGATGAAGATTTATTATCAGTCAAAACAAACGCCCTGAAACATATACTTGAAAATAAATATACACGTATATATATATGTATGTAAATATACACAAACATAAATATGTAAGAGCACATCACATTATATTATATTCATTCACATCGTCACACCGGAGACATCATAGAGATAGAAGGTAAGGTGAAATGGGGTTTAACATCGCGTCCAAGATTATTGCACTTGTATAGCGACATGCATGCACGTGTGTGTTTGTGTGGCTGCTTGTACTAGTCTGGACTGATGCCGATTTATAGTGCTAGCACACTAAGATACCATGCCGCAGTTTAACATGAATACCCCACTCAGAACAGTATACTGACTCCGAGCCGTCCAGTCCTTGTTTTAGCCCTTTAATGCCGAGCGCCAGACAGGGTAACAAGTACCATCTTTTAACGTCTTTTGGTATGACACGGCCGGGGATCGAACCGGGGATCGAACCCCAGACCGAACCCCAGACCGCTCTCCGGGCGGACGCTCTACCACTAGACCACGGAGGCGGTCATAGAGATAGAAAAAACTCATGCTTTTAACAAATACATTGAAGGATGTGTTATAATTCACAATACCTTTATATACATTTGTATTCCTATACATGTGTATTGTGTAATATGATAAATACAATTAATTAATTTCATTAATACCTGAAACCTGGGCGGGACCTGCGTTCACCAACACAACTGACAGGACTTATGTTGCCTGCATCTAAATACAAATACAAAAACAAATATACTCACTTAGGTAAAACAGGTTACCTTAGAAAACATGAATTATGTGTGACACATAATATACCTATGAACGCTTTTCATTATACATAAATAACATTGTCATAAGCAAACACATACATCATAAATACATACCCACTCGCTCACTCATTCTCAAATGAAACATTTAGGAAAGGTGAAGATATACAGTGCTTGATTTCTCTTGGAACGTACTGACCTAGTTAAAACATTTACATGGCTGCAATTATGAGTATATGTAATGACCTATCTGAATATGTATTAAGACTATGTAACACTACAACTGATTACACAAATAGATGAAAGTATATTGTAACAATACGTATAGAAACATTACTAACCTGTAGGAAGATCTCAGTTGAAAATACTACACAATGCAGATATGTTGTCAACATGGTCAAGGTGTAGTGGCTGGTGTGCTGGTTAAATGCTGGGTGTTAGTATTTGAAACAAGGCCAATCAGGCGTCAGCTGTATTAGACAAAGGACCGACCCAAGCTACCTTCCCTACCCCACAACCAGTAGAAGTTAAATAACAGAAAACTCTGCGCAGAGATCAAGTCGTTATGCAGAGCTGTAGAATACAGCAGCCATACAGGGTTATTTAATTTAATGCAACACAATAAAAGGTTAAAACACCATTTCATTACAAAACATTATATGTATACAAATATATAAAATACAGACAATACACATGTATACAACACTGCCACAATATGACAGTATGTTGATATACTAAATGTGACAAGTCATGGCCATTTGAAAAAAGGTCCTTTAGAACTGATGGTTCTCTAGACATGCTATAGCGTGGGCTAAAAATCAATGCTGTTGCCATGTCTGAACTTCTGATAAGAATTTTCCCTGATCAAAAGAGGGGTAGCCATTGTGTCCATGTCAAAGATTATGTTGGGTTTTAACTTAACTCCAGTACACATTAATACATATTTATTCAATGACCACCAGCCCACTCATCCCACTTCATTGCTTGGTATCGGGAACATTATACATGGTATAGCTTTCCAACAGTTTTTTAGTTTTATTTGAGTATGAAACCTGCACACTTTTCTGTATGAAGTTGACAGTATTTGTATTGTTACTAGTGCATGATCAGTGTGGTATTGGCAGCATTGTAATCACTATAACCCATTGTATTATTTCATGCTTGTGGAGAAAAATCTTTGATATACTTCAGTTCATGTATTGATTGCTCCTTGCAGGTGTGGCCATTGTAAAAAGCTTGCTCCGGAATATGAAAAGGCTGCAACGACTCTGAAATCAAATGACCCTCCTGTCGCTTTGGCCAAGGTAATGATATTATTGGTTGAATGAAAGCGTGCTTACAAGTAATTTGAGCTCATCCATGCTGCTCAGTTGGGGGCTGATAGACATGTCAGAGAAGTGATGGACTACTGTACATTGCACTGCCTTTACGTCCCGCTTCCTGCAACATTTTTGCAGTTGTACAATGTTGTATGTAAAATGTGTGACCTGAAGCATACTTTACTAGAGCCATGGCAGTAGGCAAAGTTAGAAGGTATTGCATAAGCAAATTGTAAAGTGAATTGATTTCAAGCGTAATGGTCGGTTGCTTAAAAATGTGAGTGAATATAATGGTTGGAGTTATCCTTGTATTTGGAACATTGCGAGACTCCCCTTCTGCTTCCAGGTTGACTGTACTGTCCAGACTGAAGTGTGTAAACAATATGGGGTCTCGGGGTACCCAACCCTGAAGATCTTCAGGAATGGTGAATTTGCTGAAGAATACAACGGCCCCCGAGAGGCAGGTCAGTCTCAGCTCTATTGACCTGCTGTGTTTCAGAAGAGATTGTACAAGTTTGCCCAATACTGACATGCTGATGATGAATCTGTTGAGCTTATATTGCTGAATAACCATGACTATCAATGATAGGACTGAAGCATGTTTCATCTTCTCCTGACACAATCCCCAGGCCTGGGGATCTGAGTCTTCCGACACATGCCATCCAGGGGTGGGGATCCGAGTCTTCCGACACATGCCCCCAGGGGTGGAGATCCGAGTCTTCCGACACATGCTATCCAGGGGTGGGGATCCGAGTCTTCCGACACATGCCCCCAGGGGTGGGGATCTGAGGTCTTCTGACACATGCCCAAAGGGGTGGGGATCAGAGGTCTTCTGACTCATGCCCCCAGGGGTGGGGATCCGAGGTCTTCTCCTGACGCTTGCCCCCAGGGGTGGGGATCCGAGGTCATCCGACACATGCCCCCAGGGGTGGGGATCCGAGGTCTTGCGACACATGTCCCCACGGGTGGGGATCCGAGGTCTTCTCCTGACACATGCCTCCAGGGGTGGGGATCCGAGGTCTTGCGACACATGTCCCCAGGGGTGGTGATCCGAGGTCTTCCTACACATACCCCTAGGGGTGGGGATCTGAGGTCTTCCGACACGTACCCCTAGGGATGGGGATCCGAGGACTTCCGACACATACCTAGGGGTGGTGATCCGAGGTCTTCTGACACATGCCTCCAGGGGTGGGGTTCCGAGGTCTTCCGACACATGCCCCCAGGGGTGGGGATCCGAGGTCTTCTGACTCATGCCTCTGTCGGGCATACAGGCTATGACAAGACTTTTGTAGGAGTTAAGCTGTGAACGACAGTGTTATATTTGTCATTTTTCTGCAGTGAATGTAAGTGTGTGTACAAGAGTGTTCCTTGTATTGTTTGTCTTGGTTATGTCTGTAGACTGTTTGGTTGTGGTTCATGCATGCCAATTGAGGACTGATCTTGAATCTCTGAAACAGTCTCCAAACAGAAATATCTGATGCATGGTATCTCCTTCAGGTGGCATTGTCAAACTCATGAAGTCCAAGGCTGGGCCTTCCTCCAAACTTTGTGAATCCGAAGAGGACTTGAAGAAGTTCCTGGCAGTGGAGGAATATGGAGTAGTTGGTAAGGCTGTGTGATCTCTGTTGCAAGGATCACGAGTATCAGAATAAAGACAAAAATACGAGCCAAACAACTATTCTTTATAATATATTTTATCTTGCAATACATCCTGACATTCGACGTACAATAGTTCTACAACAATACTAAAAGGTATTCCTGCTGCTGTGATCTTGCACCCATGAAAGTTTTTTTTTGTAACATATTCTCTTGAGCATTATGCACATAGATATATTGTTCCAGAATTTAATTGCCGTAATTAAGGGTGCATATAACACAAGTGCGTATTATGCATGAATAAATAAGTCTTGTGTACATTTATCAATCTGGGGGCTAATTGGGATTGTTCACTAGCAAATAAGTAAGCAAATATCGCCATGGGCGCTTAGTAGAGCGGGGCGCTTAGTATGTCAAATAAGGTAAGTGCATTACACAGACATTGAATAGTTTTTCTGACTAATATTTAAACACATACTTCTTGCGTGTAACCGAAAATAGCGTATCACCAAATCTGTACTAAATGCCCCAAGTTGACCCTGTTATAACACCATCTGGTTATAAAGTGTTAATTGTATATGTCTTTGTTTTTGATACATTTTATTTAAAATCCCTGGTAAATTATTGGAGTTAATGTGCATTCAGCTGATTGCTATTTATTCCTTTAAGATACAATTACATAATGAGTCTCTGAATTTTATAGATGCCTAGCATGAGGGTAAATAGAATTCAACTTTTGAATCACGTCTAGTGTGTTTTGTTTCAAAATTCATCGTTTACTTTTTCACCAAATACCTAACACTGCTCATTTATATTGAAAGGATTGTTTTTTTAATATAACACGACTTAGACATAATAGATGTCCTTACTGTCTTGAGAGTCTTAATACTGTTTGCTGATCAGTTTTTAATTATTAATGTAGGACTGTCGCATTAATGATTTGTTCATGACACATTCTAGTCTATGGGTGTATAGTTGTTGATATAGGCACTCAGTTCCCCCAACTTGCTTTGCGCTGTGCCCCAAGAGGGCTATCACACCTGTAAAGTTATGTTAATTGTAAGCAGCAAATCAAGTCTTGGAACTGATGCCAATGATGAGATGACATGAGCTATTTCCTTACTCATCTGATATCCCATGATCAGGAATGATAGGACTGAGGCATTACGGTTCCCATTATTAATGAATTACCAGAACAATCCTTTGTTTTAGGTGGCGCAATGTTTGATAATTCAGGCACAGTCTGTTACTTGATAGAATTATATTAACCAATCACACCCACTGCTGATTCTGTCAAGTTCCATATCTTCCTGTTTCTAGGCTTTTTTGGTTCCAAGGACGACGAACTGGCCAAGATATTCAAGACTACGGCTGATACCATGTCCAGTGATCTGCGATTTGCTCACACATACAGCAAAGATGTTGCAAGGAAATTCAAACGCTCAGAGTAAGCTCCCTTAGAACATGTCAGCAGTCATCTGAAAAGCTTCTTATCTTTGGTGGAAAGCTTTGGTGCAGCTTATTTAATGTTAATCAGAATTGACGACAGAAGCACCAGTACTAACATGTCAAAGATGCTTTCTGCTTGTAACTGGCTACGTGCCACAGTTCACCTGTGATTTGTCATGTTCTGCGTGGTAACTGCCTTCATGATTAATCACTCTGAAACAATGGGTGGCTTGGTTAGTATTGTTGGAATAATCAGATGAAATGTCCTGGATTTGTACTGTAAGCCTTGGTTAATTTTAGGTAATGTTCTCTTTTTCAGTGAAATTGTAATCTATAGACCCAAAAAATTCCAGAGCAAATTTGAAGACAAAGAGGTCGCCTTTGATGGGGATGTGAAGGAATACAAAGTAAAGGCGTGGATTGAAGACACAAGGTAAGATGAGTTTGTTCTGTTTACCTGTTTAAGGAGCCCTGAATACCGTACCAGTCAACTAGAATTCAGCTGAAACTGAATTTAAAATGTAGCTGTGCTATGTTTACATTTTCTGTCGGTTTTATTCAGATCAATTTGTAGCAAAGTTGAAGCACTGAGAACTGGTTCAGCATTATAGCCCATAAATGCTACTGGTTAATGAGGCCTATCCTCATTGGGTTTTCACCTGTCCTTGGCACAATGTAGTAGTCTCTGGCCAGCAGGCTAGCGTGACTATTGAAGGATGTATTGTAGGGGTGAAACGATACAGCAAGGTCACGATACGTATCATGGTATGTAGGTCATGATACATAATATGATGCACATATTAACGTCCAATCACGTGGAACTTCTTGACCAGAAGTATTTAAAAGCAGTTTCAAATGGTAAAGCTAGCTGGCTAGTGGCTGTTGTAGTAGTGAACTTGAGACCTTAATATTGCAACATATTTTGTGACATTTGACTGACAAAAATGCTGTCATTAAATGAGTAGTAATGTCTTCTAGGAAGTGTCGTCTTGTATCGATACAGTTCTTCTAGGAAGTGTCGTCTTGTATCGATACAGTTCTTCTAGGAAGTGTCGTCTTGTAACAATACAGTTCTTCTAGGAAGTGTCGCCTTGTATCGATACAGGAAGAAATGCATCATGCATTGTATTGTCGCATGAAAACTCATAATGCACCGATACATTGTCTAATCCCTTTCATGGGCTTGGAGGCTGTGATCTTGGTGAACTGGGCTGGAATTTCTGGGCTCATCATAGCACCACCAGTGGCTATTACGAGTTATCTCTTCTGTGTCCCTTCTATTGACAATCAGATTCCACCTCTCATATCACTTGCATTTGCTTCAAAAGAAATGGCTGCACACAGTCAAGATGATCTGATCGATAAACAAAATCTATATTGTAATTAAGAGGGTCTTACTTCACTAGGTTCATCAAATCATGTGAACAGTTTCATTCAAAACATGAAAAGATTTGGAAAATATCTGTCGATTTCTTTATGAGATTTTGATTGGACTATACATAGGCTCGTTAGTCCAGCCAAAATATAACTCCTTAATTCCAGCCTAGATCGGCAAGGCTGGAAAAATGGCCTTTTGAAGTGAGTTACCTCCCCTCCCTGTGAAGATGCAGTTGGGCAAGATATACAACATTGATTTTATTTTATTTTCAGCAAGGGCCTGTGTGGGCAGAGGAAGCAAGACAACGCCGACCAGTTCAAGAAGCCTTTGTTTGTAGCATACTACGATGTCGACTATGTCAAGAATATTAAAGGAACAAACTACTGGAGAAACAGGTGAGCCTAAAACAGGACTCCATTTAGCAACAGTAGAGGGACCTACGTAAATACTTTAAAATATCCTAGGTTTGACAAAACCGAAAATGAAGAAAGGAATACACAGGGACCTTGCTTTTACTTTGAGACAACAGTAGGTTCGACACTTCGGTGTTTGACTATATACAACAAGCACCAGTGCAACCTATTATTGAAAAATGCAACCAAAGACTACATGCACCAAGTGCATGTCAAAATTTGTGTCTTGACCCTGAATTGTCCACACATTGATCTTTGAACATACTCAATACCTCTTAGCTTTATTTACTTACCATACTACATCACTCATCTCTGGGGCGGTCGGGTAGCCTAGCGGTTAAAGCATTTGCTTGTCATGCTGATGACCCGGGTTCAATTCCTGACATGGTACAATGTGTGAAGCCCATTTCTGGTGTCCCCTGCTGTGGTAATGCTGGAATATTGCTAAAAGCGGTGTGTAATTTCTTGTGATGTGGGTACTTCAACATTATGTACTGTACCGGTAATCATGTTGCCACAAAAGTACTGTCTCTACAATCATGACAGTCAGCAAAGGATTGAAAATTTATTTAGACTTGATCATACATCTATATTTCAACTTTGATAGATTTTGGGACTAGGTTGGAACTAGATTTTCATGTCAACATGAAACTGGTTAAAGTTAAATCAGACTCGTGAAGATCCGGGGTAGAATAGGACTTCAGCAACCCATGCTTGCCGTAAAATGTGACTATGCTTGTCATAAAAGGCGACTAACATGATCGGGTGGTCAGACTCGCTGACTTAGTTGATGCATGTCATCGATCCCAATTGTGTGGATCGATGCTCATGATATCAATCATTGGATTGTCTGGTCCAGACTTGATTATTTACAGACCGCCGTCATATAACTGGAATATTGCTGAGTGCGGCATTAAACAACAACTAGCCATCCAATTGGGGTAATCAAGCCGTGCTAGAAGAATTATTAGTTTGTTTGTGTTCTTGATTTAATATAAAGTACTTCTTGTTCTGATGAAATGTATGAACTGATGGTGTGATGTCATACCCTGAACATGCTGATGGTGTGGATGTGGAACAAGCTATGAAGCACTGGTTCATGTGTCCCAGACTATTTACAGGCCACAGTGAAAACTGCAGAAAAGGGTTTCTCTCTGTAGTCCTGTTGATAAGTTGTATGGAAATGTTTTCTGCCCACAGAGTGATGAAGGTCGGGAAGAAGATTAGGGACGAGGGCAAGACTGTCTACTTCGCCATCAGCAACAAGGAGGAAATGAAGTTTGAGCTGAATGAGAACGGTATCGACGACATCTCCGGTGACAAGCCATTTGTCTGCGCCAGAGATACACAGGATAAAAAATACAGGATGGAGGGAGACTTCAGGTGTGTTGGACAGCATGCTTAAAACAGCGGACGTCTTATGGATAACTGTTTGTCACGATGTTCCATTGTGTTCAGCCAACTTCAAAATGCAAATCAGACACCATGGTTAACTTTATACTTTAAAAATCTCATAAATAAGAAAGTAGTATTGTAGAATTATATATAAAAGATCTATATCTGCATGCGCTGAAGCGCCTTCTTCTTGATGACCTGTTCTGCAATAAAACATTTGTTGATTATTTCAAGTCAGAAAAGGGCCGGTGGGGTAGCCTAGTAGTTAAAGCGTTCACTTGTCAGGCTGAAGGCTCGGGTTTGATTCCCCACATGGGTACAATGTGTGAAGCCCATTTCTGGTGTTTCCCTATGTGATATTGCTGGAATATTGCTAAAAGCGGCGTAAAACCATAATCACTCAAGTCATTAGAAAATAGGACATAGCTAGCTTGGTATGATTCATGTAAAGATGGAGAGGTGATTTCCTTTAGTTTTGTCAGTATTCAATAATGTCTTGTTTCCACTTGTGTTAAAGTTTGACATGGTAGGAATGTCATGTAACAATCTGTAACACATTGATACTTGTGGCTTTCAGCATGGAGACATTTGAACAGTTTGTGAGGGATGTTCTTGATGGGAAGGTGGATCCCTACCTCAAGTCTGAAGCCGTCCCGGAGCCTAATGATGAGCCGGTCAAGGTACTCCCACTTTTCCATCAGGTCTTCAGCAACCCATGCTTACCGTAAAAGGCGACTATGCTTGTCGTAAGAGGTGACTAATGGGATAGGGTGGTCAGGCTCGCCGACTTGGTTGATGCATGTCATCGTATCCCAATTATGTTGATCGATGATCATGTCAATCACTAGATTGTCTGTTCCAGACTCAATTATTTACAGACCGACGTTATATAGCTGAAATATTGCTGAGTAAAGCATTAAAACAACAAACGTCATGTAGACTCTGTACGAGAACAAAATCAACGTTTCCTTGCTGCAGGCTGAGGCCATCGTTATCCATCATTTGATTCCGGAGTTGAATCGGTACAAGTAGAAATTCTTTTTAGGCCCCTTTGCATTTCGACAGCTAGTCGTCAGTGTTCTATGAGGAATCAGGGACTTGATTTCTGATCAAATAAAACATTAACTTTCTGACACTTGCTGTTTGCAGAATTCATGTCATTGAATGAAATGTTCATCATATTGATTACCATCTACAGTTAATTGGCATTTCCTCCATGTTGCATGATGCAAAGAATGGGAATCAGCAAGGTGGATGAGCAAACTAGTGAGTCCCTTGAAGACACTAGCCCAGTCCACGCCGGGCTCATTTCGGGGCTCATGATTCTACTAATGCTATGATTATTTTTTCTAGGTTCTCGTGGCCAAGAACTTCGATGAAATTGTCAACAACAAGGAGAAGGATGTTCTTATTGAATTTTATGCTCCCTGGTGCGGCCATTGTAAGAGTTTGGCCCCGAAATATGATGAATTAGCAGAAAAGGTTAGTGCTCTGATTGATACGTCGGTGCATGGCTCTGATTGATACATCGCTGCATGGCCAGTGCAATAGTGACTGCAGCTCTAGGCATGTGGCTTTGTTTGACCAGCTAACATGATGATAAAAGATGGGACGTAATTCAGAAATGCTTTGCTGATAATCTTTCTGATTGTGCTGTGTCAAAAAGTAATGTTTTATCTGGCGACATGTTTTAAATAAGATACTTATCATATCTCTTTTGTAGACCAATGTCAAAATTAAATTCAGCCTTCTATAAGGCAGTTAGTTAAAAATAAATATGGTGCTAGAATATCATGAAACATACGACTGTATTGTAGTTTATTAATGATTAGTTTTATGTGGTACGCAATTATGTAATAGCAGAATGACTAAGCATGCATGCAAATCTTTTGCATCTTAGTGAATGTACTTTGCATCAGTTTTCAATTTTTATGCAAAAAGGATGCAGGATTTCGCTACAGTAAGTCTGTTGATCACTTTATGGAACCATATCACCGAATTATCCCGAAGGCTGATTTTTGAATAGTTTAATTGAATGTTTATGCATTGATTTTGAAGCTAATCCATGGCCTCAGTTTCTGTCAGTCTCCTTCACCATGTTTACTATTTTGTATCTTTGGACCGAGCATGGCATTTTAACAAGCTTGATCCCTGACCAGCTAACATGATGATATAAGATGGGACGTAATTCAGAAATACTTTGCTGATAATCTTTCTGATTGTGCTGTGTCAATAAGTATGTTGACCCGTGAAGATTCCGGGGTAGAATAGGTCTTCAGCAACCTATGCTTGCCGTAAAAGGTGACTACGCTTGTCGTAAAAGGGGACTAACGGGATCGTGTGGTCAGGCTCGCTGACTTGGTTGATGCATGTCATCGATCCAAAGTGTGTGGATCGATGCTCATGATATTAATCACTGGATTGTCTGGTCCAGACTCGATTATTTACAGACCGCTGTCATATAGCTGGAATATTGCTGAGTGCGGTGTTAAACAACAAACCAACCAACAATAAGTATGTTAGATAAGGGAGCACATACCCAACATATAACATACCCAGTCAGTGTCTTCGATCTGTCGAGCCCCCGACCTCCACATTGAACATGACATGTAGCTGGCTGTATCAAGTTCACTGTAGTCAACAATCAACTTTTATGACTGAAATGTTTTTTCAAGATTGTTAGTTGTATGACCAGGTCCTTTTATCATCTAATAGCATGTGTATGTATAATCTCCATAGCTTCTCTGCCTGAAGCATTGCATTCATATGACAGGTCTGTATGAATTCTCAGCATGGTGTTTTAACAAGCTTGATCCCTGACCAGCTAACATGATGATATAAGATGGGACGTAATTCAGAAATACTTTGCTGATAATCTTTCTGATTGTGCTGTGTCATGGTCAAACAACCTTCATAATGAACACTGGGGTTATGTCAAAATCTATTTGCTCTTTTACTATAGCCATGATAGTTTCTATAGTTGTGCTGTATCTATAGGACACCCATACTTTACCCCAGTTGTGCTGTATCTTTAGGACACCATACTTTACCCCAGTTGTGCTGTATCTATAGGACACCCATACTTTACCCCAGTTGTGCTGTATCTTTAGGACACCATACTTTACCCCAGTTGTGCTGTATCTATAGGAACACCCATACTTTACCCCAGTTGTGCTGTATCTTTAGGACACCATACTTTACCCCAGTTGTGCTGTATCTATAGGAACACCCATACTTTACCCCAGTTGTGCTGTATCTTTAGGACACCATACTTTACCCCAGTTGTGCTGTATCTATAGGAACACCCATACTTTACCCCAGTTGTGCTGTATCTTTAGGACACCATACTTTACCCCAGTTGTGCTGTATCTATAGGAACACCCATACTTTACCCCAGTTGTGCTGTATCTATAGGACACCCATACTTTACCCCAGTTGTGCTGTATCTTTAGGACACCCATACTTTACCCCAGTTGTGCTGTATCTATAGGACACCCATACTTTACCCCAGTTGTGCTGTATCTTTAGGACACCATACTTTACCCCAGTTGTGCTGTATCTTTAGGACACCATACTTTACCCCAGTTGTGCTGTATCTATAGGACACCCATACTTTACCCCAGTTGTGCTGTATCTTTAGGACACCATACTTTACCCCAGTTGTGCTGTATCTTTAGGACACCATACTTTACCCCAGTTGTGCTGTATCTATAGGAACACCCATACTTTACCCCAGTTGTGCTGTATCTTTAGGACACCATACTTTACCCCAGTTGTGCTGTATCTATAGGACACCCATACTTTACCCCAGTTGTGCTGTATCTATAGGACACCCATACTTTACCCCAGTTGTGCTGTATCTATAGGACACCCATACTTTACCCCAGTTGTGCTGTATCTATAGGACACCCATACTTTACCCCAGTTGTGCTGTATCTATAGGAACACCCATACTTTACCCCAGTTGTGCTGTATCTTTAGGACACCATACTTTACCCCAGTTGTGCTGTATCTTTAGGACACCATACTTTACCCCAGTTGTGCTGTATCTTTAGGACACCATACTTTACCCCAGTTGTGCTGTATCTATAGGAACACCCATACTTTACCCCAGTTGTGCTGTATCTATAGGACACCCATACTTTACCCCAGTTGTGCTGTATCTATAGGACACCCATACTTTACCCCAGTTGTGCTGTATCTATAGGACACCCATACTTTACCCCAGTTGTGCTGTATCTATAGGACACCCATACTTTACCCCAGTTGTGCTGTATCTATAGGAACACCCATACTTTACCCCAGTTGTGCTGTATCTTTAGGACACCATACTTTACCCCAGTTGTGCTGTATCTTTAGGACACCATACTTTACCCCAGTTGTGCTGTATCTTTAGGACACCATACTTTACCCCAGTTGTGCTGTATCTATAGGAACACCCATACTTTACCCCAGTTGTGCTGTATCTTTAGGACACCATACTTTACCCCAGTTGTGCTGTATCTATAGGAACACCCATACTTTACCCCAGTTGTGCTGTATCTATAGGAACACCCATACTTTACCCCAGTTGTGCTGTATCTACAGTGTCACAAATCAAAAGCAGAACTAAGGATAAACAGCACACATTATTACAAACGAAAAAGAAAAATACTTTAGGTTGATTGCATTTATTACAGTCAGCAATATTTCACATGTTAAGTCAGCAATATTCACATCATCAGGTGTCCCATTCAAAAGTCGGTGATGGATGTACAAATTAGGGACTGCAAGTAGGAGCAATCACACTAAGGCCTGAAATCATGAAAAATGCCTAACTACAAGGTGACAACTATCATGTATTTCAATACAAGAAGTTAAGAACATTGAAAAGAACATATATAACAGGCTATATTTCCATGATGGACAATCCTTTTGGCAAAGCAAACCTTATTTACAATTAAACACGAAATAACTATTCAAAAAATTTATCCTCGAAATAACACAATATTATACTCACAAAAGCCTTTCTCCTGGCCAGGTCTCACGACAGTGAAAGATCAACTGTGTCTTAAAACTGCTAAGACATGGCTTTATATAATCAAGTCAGAGACAAAACGCATGCTTTTCACATGTCAAAATGGTGTGTTTGGGCGACCCGTTCCAGTATTAAGGATGACATCTACCCCTACCAAACTACATCCCTAAAGTAATGATAAAAGAGCACATGATGTGACTTATAGGAACACCCATACTTTACCCCAGTTGTGCTGTATCTATAGGAACACCCATACTTTTCCACTTAACATGAATGCATTCGATTGTTTCAGCTTAAGGATGAGCCAGAGATCACGATAGCCAAGATGGATGCTACAGCAAATGATGTAGGAAAACCATACGAAGTCTCTGGGTAGGTAATCCTTCTGTCAGCAGTGGGCCGTGGTGAGTCCGCCATGGTGACTCATTGTAAAATTGGTATGATGGCTTGCTTGTCATGAGATGAGATGAGGTTAATCAGATGGTTTGGGAGGCCACTCTGTGCATTGGGTGTCAATGTTGGGTGCATTGGGTGGTCACGTTTGGTGCATTGGGTGGTCACATTGGGTGGTCACGTTGGGTGCATTGGGAGGCCACGTTCGGTGCATTGGGAGGCCACGTTTGGTGCATTGGGAGGCCACTCTTTGCATTGGGTTGTCACTCTGTGCATTGGGGGGGTGGGGGCACGGGTGGCACGGGTGGCCAAGTCGTCTAAGGCGCCGCAATTCGCTGTGCATAGTTGCGTGCCTTGGACACGCCAAAAACCTAGGATTGTGGGTTCGAATCCCGGTTGGCCCCGATTATGTTTCCAGGTTCGTAAGCACCATACCCGTGCTCGTGGGTTTCACGGAAGTGGTAAACGTCTGAGACCTGCATCACTTCGAGCTTTCCTCCCACATTAAGCTGACATGCCGCGATATAACTGGAATACTGTTAAAAGCGGCGTTAAACACAACTCACTCCCTCACTGTGCATTGGGAGGCCGCTCTGTGCATTGGAAGGCCGCTCTGTGCATTGGGAGGTCACTCTGTGCATTGGGAGGCCACTCTGTGCATTGGGAGGCCGCTCTGTGCATTGGGAGGCCACTCTGTGCATTGGGAGGCCACTCGGGGCATTGGGAGGCCGCTCTGTGCATTGGGAGGCCACTCTGTGCATTGGGAGGCCACTCTGTGCATTGGGAGGCCACTCTGTGCATTGGGAGGCCACTCTGTGCATTGGGAGGCCACTCTGTGCATTGGGAGACCAATCTGTGCATTGGGAGACCACTCTGTGCATTGGGAGACCACTCAGGGCATTGGGAGGCCGCTCTGTGCATTGGGAGGCCGCTCTGTGCATTGGGAGGCCACTCTGTGCATTGGGAGGCCACTCGGGGCATTGGGTGGGCGACAGCATGACAACATTGCTCTTATCTGGTTTGTCTGTCCAGGCGGCTGACATGAAGCTCAAATGATGACTGTCTTACAGCAACAAATGATGTAGAATATTGTGAAGGAAATGTCCCTTTACCAGCAAGAGGTGACAGAAACGGAGACAAGGTGTACAAGCTGATGCCGTCATTATAGCTGAAATCATGTATTTGGGTATTAAATCTTGTGCCTTTGAAAGAAAACTAAATGTATTTGTATTTGTTTCAGATTCCCAACACTATACTTTGCACCCAGGAACTCAAAGAGTGCTCCCAAAAAATATAATGTAAGTATGACGTCAGTCCGTGACATTCTATACAATGAAGTATAACAGCAGAGCATTTACTGTGACACAGCATCAACGTGACACAGTATGGAGCGTGACACAGCATCGAGCGTGACACAGCATCGAGCGTGACACAGCATCGAGCGTGACACAGCATGGAGCGTGACACAGCATGGAGCGTGACACAGTATTGACAATGACAGTATCGGTGGCAGCTGCACACACATGATGTTGTTTCAAGACGGGGCAGACAATCACTGTTGATACTCGAAGTGCTGATGTGTGCGGCAGACCAGACCACGACTCCATTGGCTCGAAAACTTACTGCTTATGTTTCGATACATCGAAAATCATTCCCATAACGAGTCAGTTTCTTAATAAAGCAAATAAGTTACCTCCCCAGGGGGGTTCTGGGGAAGAATGGTTTCCCAGCATGTATGCAGAATTAAAGTCAGGATTTGATGGCTACCCAAAGTTTCACTGTTAGGGCATCAAGCAGCTGGGAAAGGCAATTTACCTAAGCATTGACCCAGGGTGGGTGGTTCTACTTCAATAATTAGACCCGTGAAGATCTGGGTCAGAATAGGTCTTCAGCAACCCATGCATGTTGTAAAAAGCGACTAACGGGATCGGGTAGTCAGGCTCACTGACTTGGTTGATGCATGTCATCGTATTACAATTGCCTGGATCGACGCTCATGTCAATCACTGGATTGTCTGGTCCGTTCCTGACAATTTACAGCCATCACATAGCTGGAATATTGCTGCATTTGGCAACAAACAAACAACTCCATGCATTGACCCGTATAAGGGCTTCTACTCCATGCTTTGCATTGACCCAGGGTTGGGAGTTTGTTCAGTCTGTCACAAGTGGGGTATCCTGTCACACACATGATGGTGTTTCAAGACGGGGCAGATATATACTGTTGATATCCGAAGTGCTGATGTGTGCTGGCTACATCCACTTGATGACAACACGCACTCGCTCACTCCTATACACCACCTTGCACATTGAGTTGAAGACGAGATCTTTGAATTAGGGGAATAGTGCGTAGAGCACATCTCTACAGTGGCTTTCCCAATGACAGGCCTTCATTTATAACAATTGTTTGTTTGTTGACACCACAACTCTGCATGTTGGTTTCCCAAATAGCGAAGCCCACTCAGTCATTGAATGATTTTTAAACTTGGATACAAATTCGTGTTTCAGGGAGGTCGTGAGGTCGATGACTTCTTGAAGTATCTGGCAAAAGAGTCTACAAACCAACTGAGGGGATACGATAGAAATGGAAAGAAAGTTAAATCTAAGAAGACAGAGCTTTAGAGGAGATTGTTATTGTACAGATGTAAGAATATTCCGCAGTAGCTAGCCTCATCATCTCCCCCCCCCCCTCGATTCTGTTGGCAGGAGCGATAGTTTCATTGGCTGCGACATGGCAAGTGGAATTACTGTTCTTGTCTGTCTGCTGTCATTAGCTCAAAACATGTACATTTTATACTGTCATTCTTTTAGTTCCCACTGTTTGATGTATATTTTGAAGATGTCAACTCATTTATCCGGGGAGTGCTTGGTGTTTGTCATGATAATCATGATTGTGAGTTTGTTCATTTCTAAATCCGACGCTTCCAATCTTCCCTGACTTAATAACTAAACTCACTATACAGATAAGTATCATAAAGCCTGTCATCTCTACCTAACATGTTTTTACTCAGTTGGAAACTTTTCCTTAATTATTTATTCTTCTTTGTAAGATGATTAATTTTATAGATTGATCTGTCTGTATACAGGTTTACAGAGGTTCATTTTATGCTGACATGTTATTTATGTGCCATCGGGATACAGTACTCTGAAGTCCGTACGTCGCCATCGTCATCATGTGTTGTGCATTACTCGCCTAATGCGTATGTTTGGCTATTTGTTAAAATTTTCATACATGCAAGATGTATAAATGATAGTTATATCGAAAGTAAATATTACATTTCATAATGGTTGTTTGTTTTGTTTGTACATGGGCAGAGGGTAGCCCAGTGGTTGAAGTATTTGCTTGTCATGTCGAATGCCTGGGTTCGATTCCCCACATGGTTACAATGAGTGAAGCCAATTTCTGGTGTCTCCTGCTGTGATATTTTTGGAATATTTCTGGAATATCGCTGAAGTAACGCTGAAAACAGTGTCAAACAATATTCACTCACTCACTTGTTTGTTGAGATATTTTATTATTTTAACAAATTTTTATATTACATTCAATGCAAAAATTAAAAATTAAACTGAAAGCACACTTCTTGTAACCATGGTAACAAAAATTGTGAAAAGTTGAAGTTCAATTTTGTCATTTTTACCAACATTAACTTGCAGGCTTGGAGCCGAATTTTGGCCTCTGAGCAGGGCGAGATAAATCGATGGGGATGCATGAGGCGCATGACATTATCCCCCCAGTCACCAGATCAGTGTACATTTCTCATTCTCAGCCCCCATAGTGAGTATCGACCCCAGGCTGCCTGTCAGGCGTAACCATACCTCACAGTATGTTTATCTCCGTTCTACCAGGAAAGTTAAACACCTTAAACACTGCATCACTTCAGCTCTTTCATGCAAGACAGCCTCCGTGGTGCGTCTGACTGGAGAGCGGAAGATCTGAGATTTGATGTTAAAAGATGGGGGATACTTTTTGTTGCCCCGTCTGGCGCTTGACAGTAAGGGGCTAAAACAAGGACTGGTCGGCTCGGAGTCCGTATAGGTGTCTGAATGGGGTATTCACGTTATAATGCATCATGGTATCTCAGTGGGTTGGCACTATAAAATTGGAATTAGTGTGGACTTGTACAAGCAGCAGCGCCCCCCCCCACATATAAGTGCAATAATCTTGGACGTGACATTAAACCCCATTTCACCTCACCCTCCCCTTTCCCGCAAGCCAGGAGGTTACTGTGATACTGTTTAAAGCCATGTTTAACCAAACCAGTCCCTCATGATTAAACAATGAGTAGTATGTGACTGAATTAGTACAGCTGAAAAAACTATTCTAATGGGGAAAAAAGAAACTACTCCATGTCAACTTAATAAATATATTCTGAAATTATATACTGCATCTTTTAATTCATATTCATGACATCTCCCCTACTTTTGTTTCACCTTAAATCTTGGCTTGGCAGCCCCAAGGCTTGCTGAAATTCAACATCTATGCTGCAAAACAGGAATTACACAGAAACAGTTAACAGACATTTTTAATGTTCATCGAAACAATATCATCTGTTTGAAGATGGTATCTTCAGCAGGGCAACACTCGTGACTTGCCACGGGCCAGTTGTCCATGTGTGATGTCAAGACAACCATATTCGGTTGGTGCATCTACAGAATCGATCCCAAATATTATTGTCACATTAACAGCTTTGACATTTCCTTGGTTGAGACCGATTAGTGGCACAACAGTACGCAAAGGGTTGAGGGAGCACACCAACTGGCCCTGACGTGCCAACGAAACCTCACTTGAGGTAAGCGCCATCAGAGAGGTGCAGAAGACAAGACGGTGCACTGTTGAGGTTTCATCAGGACGTCCTGATGGTCGCGCAAGGTCTACAGGCGCCAGGAGAATGTTTACGCGACTTGCGTTATTCAACATCGCCAGTTTTGGGTGGAAGTATGATGGTATGGGTAGGCATCATAACTCATCATTGTTAACGGAAATTTGAATGGCGTGCGCTACCAGGACGCCGCCGTTCGAAATCATGTTCTGCCCTTTGTGCAAATGCAGGGCGTCTTCAGTGCGCCACCGCTGCCTCGCCTGCACCAACGCAAATGGAGGTCACACCCGATATTGACATTGTTTGAGTTCGTGCACCTCTCCTCTTTTATGGGGTGTCTCCCCGTCTCTTGTTAGGTAAATGTTTTGTCAGTGGACTCATGATGATAAATCATTGATCTGACGAATGACTAAATGTTATATTTTTAAACTTATCATATCTCACACTATGCATTTCTTCCTTCTTTCGATCGTTTTGTGGAAATGTGCTTGAACAAAGTTTTCAGCTTCTAAACCCTTTGGCCGAACACATCCCAGCAGTGCCATGGTCACCACCCCAACAACAGGGTCTCGCACTGTAACCCCGTGCATAGTGACCTTCGCCATATTATCACCTGACTACCACTGCCACATCATTCTCTTTCTGATCACCAACCTGTGGAGAAGTGTATTTAGTTGTAGAGAATATATTAAGTGGTATGCCGGATGCTTTGTTTGTTTCTTGTTTACCGCCGCACTCGGCAACATTCCAGCTACAGGACGGCGGTCTGTAGTCGAGTCTGGACTGCATTATTTCGGGTTCTCCTCCCACAAAATAAGCTGACGCTGTGTTATAACTCCGGATACTGCTCAAAGCGGCCTTAAACGCAACTCAGGGAAGTGCGTGACAATTATATGAATGAAGCGCCTGAAAATATCAGCCCACTGCCCAGTGGCTCTGCTGACATTATTCCACGCAATGCATACAAAAACCATGCAGCTGTGATGTTAAAATACCCACTTAATACAAATAAAGCCATTTAAACAATTGCACTTTTGGACAAATCTTGAAGGCACCATATTTATGAATACATTGCGAGAAACGGCTACGAGAAAGAGCTTTTATATTGTTACAAGACATGAAATCTGGATTATATATACTCATTCAAACAAGTATGGGAACACCCCCACATTGTACCATAGTACATTCAACCTCTGTATTTCTTGAAACAAGCACACAATTTGATGCTGTAGAAACAGATCGAACACTGGAGATCCCATGCCTTAAAAGCAATAAGATTTTTGATTGTGTGATGCTGCACACAAGGGAATAAAGGTTGACATTGCACTGGACTAACCACTAGGGCACCTAGATGACCACACGCCTCGTGGACAGAGGGAGGACACTGCATGGCTACAAGATGGACAAGCCATCAGTGAAGGTGCCGTCTGTTCCCCGTCTTGTGGCACAGGTTCCAGAACTATGAAGAAGTCAAGGATCGACCTCGTTCAGGCAGACCAAGATCAACCACAAGGCTGAGGACCGTTATGTCATTCTGGCAGCTTTGCGGCATCGGTTCACAGCAGCAGAACCATTGCGACTTTAACTGAGGGCAGTGCACAGACAACCAGGAACTGTCTCAGAGGTGCTGGCTTCTGCTGGTATCAACTCCAGGCGTCCAGCTGTAAGACCACCTCTACTGGCACGTCACAAAACTGCACGTCTTGCATGGTGTCGAGCTCATCTCAGCTGGAAAGGCAGAAGTGGTCGCAAATTTTGTCCACACATGAGTCCTGTTTCTGCATGCAGTTCAATGATTGTCGTGGTAGAGTGTTTTGCCACAGAAGAGAACGGTTTCAAGATGCCACAGTCAGGGAACGGGACAGATTTGGTGGTGGCTCAGTGATGATATCGGGAGGCTTCAGTTTGAATCACAGGACCCCACTTTACATGTCAATGGAGAGCTGACAGGTATTTGCTATAGGGACGAGATCCTTCGACCAGCTTTGGCTGCCATTTGACCTGGTGCCACACTTCAGGGTGATAATGCTCGGCCTAGCAGGGCAAGTGTGGTTAATGACGTCATCAACTAAATGGGATCACCAGAACGTGGGCTGCCTATTCCCCAGATCTGGAACCGATCGAACCCCCGTGGGACGTACTGCGACGACGTCTGCGTCCACATCACCACCTTCTTCAACCTACAACGACTCGTCCAATACCTGCATACTGAGTAGCGAGCAACACCTCAGGCAACTTTAGGGACTCTTGTCAGGCCCATAAGACAGCGGCGCAGAGACCGTTCCTTTTCACGAACACCTGGTGTCATTACTATTTGATAGTGATTCATAAACACATACTCATGATATAGTCGGAATGGTACAATCGACTCTGCTGTGTGCAGAGATTTCTACTGGATATGGAAAGGGTTTTGTCGCTTTATGTAATACTGACTCCACGTGTACCCATCTGCTCCAGGTGGTGGGTGTGGCAGGACTTGTCGGGTCTTGGCTTACATTCGACAGAGTAACAGGTCAATAACAACAGGAACCGGGGAACATAACAACATATACATCACTCTTGCGGTTACAAGGATTGTGTCTAACAAAGAAAGTCTTCTAATCTGTTACGTGTACAGATGATACCATAGTAACAGCTGTAACAACATTCATGGCTCGTGATGATACCATAGTAACAGCTGTAACAACATTCATGGCTCGTGATGATACCATAGTAACAGCTGTAACAACATTCATGGCTCGTGATGATACCATAGTAACAGCTGTAACAACATTCATGGCTTGTGATGATACCATAGTAACAGCTGTAACAACATTCATGGCTCGTGATGATACCATAGTAACAGCTGTAACATCATTCATGGCTCGTGATGATACCATAGTAACAGCTGTAACAACATTCATGGCTCGTGATGATACCATAGTAACAGCTGTAACAACATTCATCGCTCGTGATGATACCATAGTTACAGCTGTAACAACATTCATGGCTCGTGATGATACCATAGTTACAGCTGTAACAACATTCATGGCTTGTGATGATACCATAGTAACAGCTGTAACAACATTCATGGCTCGTGATGATACCATAATAACAGCTGTAACAGCATTCATGGCTCGTGATGATACCATAATAACAGCTGTAACAACATTCATGGCTCGTGATGATACCATAGTAACAGCTGTAACAACATTCATGGCTTGTGATGATACCATAGTAACAGCTGTAACAACATTCATGGTTCGTCATGATAACATAGTAACAACTGTTACAGCATTACGTGTCCTTAATCACAACATATTCATCTTCTCCATGAGGGAGACGTGCTGTACGTTTACTGCGTGATGCTGTGGGAATTCTGGTAAAAAACGACTCACTTATCTAGTCACTCCCTCATTCACTCAACCGCTAACAAACTCACTCACTCACTCACTCACTCACTCACTCACTCACTCACTCACT